TAAATCTACGTTTTCGAGAGAATAAAAAGTCATATCTCTACAAAAGCCACATAAAAAACTTTTTTCTGAAGTTTTGCCGGTGGATTATTCCAGCTTTCGGCTTATTCAGCCATATGACACTCTGTTAATAATTTGAAAAACTGTCATGTGTGTTCATATGTATGCAAATATTGGTAGCTTAGTTCCTTGTAAAATTTGATGATATATCTGTATGGCAGTCACCCTCAATATTATGGGATTTTAATAGTAGAAAAACGACATCAGCTTCTGATCATTATCAGCACGGGCTGTCGCCCAAGCTTACTATAATGCTAAATTAAATATCACTAATTTTGAAATAATGCTAACATTTTTATAGTGATTAAACTCTGAAATCTGTTCTGAAATGGATTCTATTTTGTCACAGACCAGAACTCAGTGCTGGTTTCCAGAATGACTCGCACTAATTCAGCAACCTCTTCTTTTTATAAGCATCTTCGGGAGTATATCAGAACCTACTGTTCCAGCCCTCACAGTACATATTAACCATTGACTAGCAGTACATCAGAACAAAAATACTTAATTCAGCACATAGTGGCAGTTTTTTCAGCTTCACTTCAACACTAAAGACATTATTTAAGCTGCAAATCCTATTTTTTTAGGTCTCGTCGCATTAATTAAGTGTCTGGCGTTCTTTTTAAGAACAGGCAGAGTTATTTCAGTACAAAGTAGGTTCATGTTAGATAGATAAAATATTCATTTGCAATCAAAAGGCATTATCGACGCAGAGGATAGAATTAGTTTAGAATTATTGTTAACTCAGGAATTTGGAAAACAATGACAGAAAGAGGGATTTTCCCCTACATGAGTTTGAATAAAGCAAAAACAACAGAAGTTTTTGCAGAATAAAATGGAATCAACATTTATTTCGTCGGCTTCTCATCAGCTCTTTACAGGCCAAAGACATTAATAAATATATCAATTTTAACATATTTGAACAGAGTTCACTTTTAACAAAAATCAGTCAGTCAATATATGCACAAAAAAAATGTAATAAAAGTAAACACTTCATCCCAAACAATAATGCTCATACATAATGGTAACTTTCGACATTACGTAATCGGATGAGATAGAGGGTGAAAATATCCAGTTACCAGGATGAGCAAAGAAAGACTGATAACTGTTTCTTTCTGAGCACACAAATCAGGTTTCAGGCGCTTGATGGGAATAGCTCCAGCAAACTTGTGGAGAATTGAGCTCTTTTGCCTATTGATAATTTTGAGCGATTTTGCGACGTCCACCTCATGACCCTTGTCAAGGAGATGCCTGATGATGGCACTGTTTAAAGCATTTGTTCCCCCTGAGACTTAGGCTTTTCGGGACATGTTCACAAAATCGGAGGCATGCTATTCTTCCTGTTCTTCCAATGTAACTGCTCCCGTAGATACATGTAAATTTGTATATACAGTTGGAGTTAACATGATAGGGATATCTGCCGACTTTTGATTGCACCAAAGAGCAATTTTTTCGATAGACGGGAACCGGCTTAGCTGCAGGATAGGCTCCAACTAGTGACGTCATCACACTTATGTTGACAACTGCTGTAATACTGTCACCTTTAAAATCAAGTTGAATGAAGGTGGGTTTTTTCACTGTGATCTGCCTAACATTTCAACCTTCGGATCTTTTGTACTTGGTTATGAAACTTTGAGGGTAATCGTTGTTTATCAACATCTTTTCGAGAAACATAAATCCTTCCTGTGACTTCTCTGTAGAGCATACTCTCCTAGTTCTGTAGTGTAGAGTCTTGACTAGTCCTCTTTTAAAACTATTTGGACAAAAACTATTAAAATGTGAGTATTGTCATTTCCAAGTAGGCTTTCTATAAATTGACCTCTGGAGACTACTGTCTTCTAGACATTGCATGGCAATGTCGAGGAAATGGAACTTTCCATCATTTTCATGTTCCATAGTAAATTCAATATTTGTATATGCGTCGTTGAATAATCTGAGTAGGTAGGAAGCATGAATTTCATTGTTGCACACTACAAATGTGTCCCCAACATATCAAAAATAAGTTGTTTCGTCAAATGTAGGCCTCAACTTTGCCGGGTTAGGTGGAATACCCACAGCTACACCATCCATTTGGCGGTAAAGTCTCGTCAAACTGGAATTTCACACCCATGGCACACATCACCAGTAGGTGTCTGAATTCCGACCTCGGGAGTGGGAGAAGATCGGACCGCCGAAAAATGTTCTCAATAGTTTCATTGATTGGAATCATTGTGAACAGGGAGGTTGCATTAAATGACGCCACGAACTTATTTAAAACGTTCGTGTGGTCCACACTTTCAGCTAAATGAAATGAGACTTTCATAGAGTGCACTGCTGGCCGTTGACGATTGGGTTTTAACTTCTCTGCAAGCCAACGAGCAAACTTATGTTGGGGCAAGTTGATCATCTAAAGAATAGGGGACTTGTTATTTGTGTGTCTTTGGAAGGCCATACATATGTGGCAAACGGAACCCTCGGGGTTTCCAATCATTGTACGTATTGCTATCAATCAATTTCTTCTTTGGAAGATCTCTCAGTACGTTTGTGATACGTTTTTCTACTGGAACCGTCTTATCTCTCTGGAAGTCGTCAACTTTAAACATCAACGGGGCATTTTGCATAGTGTTCATCTTTGCGATGTAGTCATCTTTGTCTATCAGCACCACTCCTGAGCCTTTGTCAAGTGGCAATATGACGATTTCGTCATTATTTTTGAGAGCTTCAAATACTCTTTAATGCTCTTTAGAGAGGATTTTAGAATACGACGTTGGTGAAATGAGGTATTGATTTGCAAAGTCGACCATCTTGGATTTGAAGAGCTAGTAGCCTTTTATCAGAAATTGGTAAGTGATCGCTGTAGAATGGTCTTAAGTTAAATCTGTTCCAATTTCGGGCTGTTAATTTCACTTTCAGATATAAGCTTGATTTATGTAAATTGGTTCGTCCCCATGATTCTTGCATCACAGAAGACACTGGAGTTTGAACTAAGTCGGATGTTAAATATGCCTTGGATTGTGTTTTTTACTCTGATTTTTCATGGTCGTCTCATAGTCTATCAATTTCTAGGGAAATATTTCGTCTAATCTCCTACATAAGGAAGTTGGAATAGTGTGTCACCACTCAGTTTCTACTTTTACTGTTTTTTGTTAGCTCTTGTATTCTACCCATTCTACTTTACTGCTCTCCGTTAACCTTCCATGGGCTACTCAAAAAGAAAAGACTTTTACATTGTGAAGGATACTAAAAGCTATCGGTAGGATTGGCAGTGTATCTCGAAGCCAACCGGTTCAAACTGTTGTTGAGAAAAATTGAAACTCATGCAGGAAATTGGCAAACCATTACGCTGAACTCTTAGCATCCTGTCCATCGCTAAACTCTCCCCATAGCGCATCTCTTAATGCATAACTAGAAGCAATTATAAAAGACTTTATACTCGCATTACTGTCCTAAAAGAGGTCAATAGCGAGACAGAATAGCGCAGTATTGGCGTCTGTGACTGCAGGCAGCACTGATTGGTGACGCGGGTTCGAATGTCAGAGAGTAAATGAGTTCTTACGATGTTTCAGATACACCTTGCTGACTGGTGAGTGCCAAACAGGATGAAACCTAGGACAAGTTAGGGATTCCTAACGACTGCCTCCGACCATCTAATATGAACGATACCGTATTTGGTACACCTTTTATTTGCTGATAAAAGTTGAGTTATTATGAAATACTAAATAAACTGACGTTCTAACATTAATATATCGTTGTCACTATTTCTACTCGCACACACACACAAAACTTGGAGCATCCGGACTTCGCCGATGATATATGTCTGATTTCACACAAACTGGAAGATATACAAGCGAAAAGCAACAAGTTAGCCTAAGAAGCATCAAAAATAGGACTTCAGATAAACATAAAGAAGACAGAGGTGATGACGATTCCTGACCAACAGCAACAACAACAGACGACAGTCAGCATAAACGGGAGAAATCTGAAAGAAGCAACCCCCTTCACCTTCCGACTTGGGAAGCATCGTTTCAACTACAGGCGGACGGGACTGATGAGGATATCAAAGCGAGGATCGATCGGGAAAACAAGGAAAGCTTTCATTACTCTCAAGTCTATGTGGAGGTCACTCAGCATGAAAAATAAGATCCGGATTTTCAACTCCAATGTGAAGTCAGTCAGTTCTACCATAGGGATCAGAGACTTGGCACCGCGTCACGAAGGGCACTTCGAACAAACTACAGACCTTCATCAACATCTGTCTTCACTCAAAATCAGATGGCCGGCCAGAAAAGATCAGCAACACAGACGGATCTCTGGGAATGAACCAACCCAGCAGGAACCGACTGTGCAAGAAATATACAGGAAGAAATGGAGGCGGATTGGCCATACTCTGAGAAAACAAAACATCAAGTGACATTAAACTCCAGGCCATTGCTCGACTGCGAACTGAATGGGAAGTGGCGAGTCAGTTGGTCATCAGTGCGAAGGTGACATGTAGGAGGTCATGCGAAGAGGAGATGAAAGTATGTGGGCAGACGTGGAGCCAGGTGAAAACGTTGGCGGAGAAGCGAACGTAATGGAGACGTGCGGCTGAAGTCCTATGGTCGTCTAGGAACTAAAGGAAACAATAATAATAGTGATAATACTATTTCTACTCACTTTCAACTTTTTACATTCATATTTTTATTGATACTGTTATGATCGGTGTAAATATTGTGTTAATTATTTTCCCCTTACTATGAAATATAGGGAGAAAAATAAGTGGAATATTGTATTACATGCTGAGAACTTCACAATGTGTCAAAATACTGTATATAATAAAGCTATTATTATTATTATAATCACTATGAACTGTTTCAGATTCTCATCAAATCTGTATAAGACTACTCCTACTACAACTACCACGCCTTGAGATTCTTGCAGTCTGCTAAGGTGTTCAGAAGACAACAGGGACGGCACATGGCTGCAGGATGAGTCAAGTGAATTTAGTTAATTATGTAAGTTTCGAATCAATAAAAATGAGTAAACATCTGATTGTTCTAATAATGACCTTTGTACAAGAACGATTATCACTTAGACGATTGCATAGGCGAATTCACTGTCCCATCATTAATCCTGTTGGCTGACTACAGGATAAGGTGACTTGGAGTTCTAGTGAGAAGTTGTGACCAGTGAAGTTCAACAAGTTGCATGCGAGAAGAAATACTCGCCGATAATACCAACTGGCAGTTGTTCAATATATATCTTTGCAAATGGGCAGGAGTTAGAATTTATGGGCTATTGAGTTCCTTCTCAGTGACCGCATCGTCAATAGGATGGCTGCTGAAGTCACGCGTGCGTATTAACAAAGAGCTTTGAACTAGGAAGAAGCAGCTATCCAGTTATTCCTTAGTTTCCAAAGGTTCTCTAACTGGAGTCAGTTTGCAATCCAACTTAATATCTTCACAAACCATATGCGTAACCCTAAAACTAACAAATCGCAAGTACGGAGTGTCAGAAAACATTCTGATGCTTGCAGTTGAAGAAAAATGATAATAGCCTCTCGATTATCTTAAATTTTGACAGTAGTGTAGAAAATGCTTGCCTTCGAAATCGATGGTTTAGTGCTATTCATTTATTCACCAAACATTCAGTTTTGTCTTATAGATTGAGGGTCTTATACTTCTACATTTGTTATCTCCGACCTCTCATCTTCAAAAACGAGAACAGGCAGTTAGTATGTAACTATCGGCCTGTAAGTTTGACCTGCATTATAGAAAAGGTGTTAGAAAAACTCATAAGGGATCAGCTCTTAGCTCATACGGAAAAATATGGCTTACTGGCAGTGGAACAGCATGGATTCCGACCAGGACGATCCTGCTTGACAAACTTACTGTTAGCTAGGGAAGATTGGGTCGAGGCCAGGGATAAAAACCATCTACTGGATGTTGTCTTTATCGATCTTAGTAAAGCTTTCGATAAGGTATCCCATTTAGGTCTTCTTAACAAACTTAAAAATTTCGGATTAGACCAACGCTTATGTGAGTGGTTTAGTGACTACCTGATGGATAGGAGGCAGAAGGTAAGGGTCAATGGTGTACTGTCAGGGTGGAAAGCAGTACTAAGTGGAGTACCTCAGGGAAGTGTATTTGGCCCCCTGCTATTCCTATTATACGTAAATGAAGTGCCGAAAATTCTTAACTCATCCTCCTTACTATTTGCGGACGATATTAAGATATGGAAAACCGTAAATAGTGGCGATGATAGATCGGTACTACAAAACGATCTAGACAAATTAGCCGAATGGGCTAACCTTTGGAGTCTGGAGATTAATTCCAAGAAAAGCGCGGTAATGCACCTAGGTCAGAAGTCTTACACGTCGTACTCCATGGGGGACACAGAACTGCCAGATGTTAGGGAACAAAAGGACTTAGGAATTATTGTTAGCCATGACTTAAATACAACGGCAAACTGTAATCGAGCTACAGTTAAGGCTTTTCAAATGTTATGGGCAGTTCGAAGTGCTTTTAAACGATTAGACGAGGGTATGTTCCAAGTAGTCTATGCAGCATATGTCAGGCCTCATCTAGAGTACTGCATACAAGTGGCGAGTTCATGTTTCAAAAAGGAGGCACATACTCTGGAAAGAGTACAGAGGGTAGGAACGAAATTAGTTAGTGGTATCTCATACCTTCCTTATGACATGAGGATGGAGTATTTCAATCTCTTCCCATTATCATACCGAAGGAGGAGAGGTGACTTAATTTTGGCTTACCGTATACTGAGGGGTGATTTAGGGATTGACCTTTCAAACCTTTTCTCTTCCTCTAGGATACATTTAGGGGGCCGCCAGAAGAAGGTGCTCAAACCGAGGTCGAATAATATAAGTTTGGAGTTAAGATTCTCTCACAGAGTGGTCAACGACTGGAACTGCTTACCTGATTCAGTAGTAACAGCTCCATCGGTGAACACTTTCAAAGAGAAACTCGATCTCTGCAGAGATATATATCGCGAGGATTAACACAGGCAACAAGAACCTTCTATCCTTATAATCTGAATCTGAATCTGGATGTCTTGAGTCATCCTACAGATTTACTCTGACATATTTTTAATAATTCGCATTGCTGAGGAGTTGTTCATTTCTTCTGAATGTTTAGTGATTATTCTCTAAGCAATGTTGGTTTGTGACGAAATCAACAGTGGAGATAATCTAACTTCTTAGTAATTCAAAGTATGAAACCGTTTTTCCTTAGGCTTTTAAATCGTCAGACATCATTATACTCGTTACAGTCAAGTCTTATCATTCACTAGCAGCAGCGATTTACTACTATATTTCATCTGAAAAGATGATTTCCTCTCTGTCACCATCACTACAATCTTGTTGACCTTAAAAAGTCGATATTATTTTAAGAAGGGACATCAATATTGTCAATAAGTGTAGAACTTGGGCACTGTGGTGGTAGAATGTAATTTCATATAAGATAAGTTTATTTTAATAATCACACAATGATGCAGTATTAACAAGTGGATGACAAGGTTTCGAGCATAAATCATTGCTACTCATAATCATGTCAATTTCAGACACACGGTTTCTCTTATATGTGTGTATTTTCTCTTTTTCTGTCTCTCCAGCTTCTCTTTGTTGTTTATTGCCACATTCCATGTCTCCAGTATAGGTGTTGCGTTACGTCATTTTGATTGCACGTGTTGTGCGGTGTTGAATCGATGAACAAAACTCCAGTGAATAACCTCTCTGTCTCTTCCCACCTAACTATACCACTTTTTAATACTCTCACCTTGTCCCACTCTATTTCGTGATTACATACAAATGAATGCAATGCAGTGCAGTGGCTAAGCTATGTTTTTTCTAGGTTACGCAACTTAACAGCATCAATTATTTCAGGTCTGGCTAAATTTTTATGTTCCAATAATCTAGTTGACCCTGATCTACTAGTCTGAACTCACAGTCATTACATGGTGTTTGTTAAATTATTTTATTTTTCCTAATTGGATTTATTGGGTCCTTAAGCCGACAAAGTTTATATCTGAGGGTTGGTTGGTTGGTTGGTTTGAGAACCACTTTAATTCCAACCTCATTGAGAATTCCAAGTAAGGCCTCGGATGTCCCTTCTTTATACGGCAGTACTACACAGTCTTTGAATTCTATATTATTTTTGTTATTTTCGTTATTTTTATTACTAATCTTAGTTTTCCTGTTTTCCTTCATATATTTCTGAATAAATTCTGGTGGGTAGTGATTCACTGGTAATATTTCCCTAATTTGTTTGATTTCGTTATTTAAATCTACGGCTTACTAGATAGGCTGTCGGTCCGATTATAAGGTCACTTAAATAAAACTATACTCCTTCACTGATTCTGGATGGGATAAATTAAAGTCTAAGTATTTATTAGAGTGTGTGTGTCAGTATCCTATAAATGCTAGTATCATCTAGCCCACCGTCATATTTTCGTTTTGTTCTACAGTCTAGCATGGCCAACTCACGCTTTTCATTTTCTAACTCAGAAGTGAAATGGATTCCGTCTAATATTGAGTTTATATGTGTGTGAAAAACTGAGGGATAGGTTCAGATTCCAACACATATCTCGACCATAACCTTTAAACGCTCTAAGGGCCTACCTTATTTTCCCAACTATCTATAAATATGTCTGCCAAAACGTGTGACTAAAATTGACATGATTATGAGCAGCAATAATTTATGCTCGAAACCTTGTCATCCAGTTGTTAATACGGCATCGTCACTGTGTGACTATTAAAATAAACTTATCTAATACGAAAAGAACGTTCTTTGCTCAATTTTTGTTTATTTATTTTTTTCATTTTTCATTGTTTTCTCTTTAGAATTTGAGTAAACTTTTCCACCGTGATCAGTATAGTACTATTGTTGAAAACCTACCAGATTCAGTTGGTTCATCTGCATTCACTTCGGAATGCCGTCAACTTATTTTACCACCAATAACTAGTGACACATGCATCACCGCATCTCCAAGGCGAGAACCTTCAAACATACTACAACGTCTAACAAATCGTCGTATAGAAAAGCATAAAAATCGATTGGAAAAATGGTATGAAAGACTTTCACAGATAAGTAAAGTGAGTAGGAAATCTTTTTCAAGTGTGTTAACATTTCATCTTAACATGTTTTGCATATTCCACAGGCTGGTAGTGGATTCCAAATTGAACGCTTCGTCCTAACTAAGACTCATCACTGGATGTTTTAGAAATAGTTAAAAAAAGTTGTTTTGCGAATTATGATAGTAAACAGCTCTTTCATTCAAATCACCGAAAATACCCATTGAGTCATGAAGAAAATAAAAGACAATTCAGCGAAGGAAATTTTCCATTGATCGACGAAGTCATCTCTTCAGAAACTGGCCGTACAGCCGCATTTATATTTATCAAAAATTTATAGTAGTCAGTTATTGAGTAATAGGGGTTCGTGTGTGTGTGTGACATAACTGATATAATTATTCAGAATTGGCTTTAGAAGTAAAAATAAAAGTTGTAAATCACGTAACAATCAACGGTGCAAAGGAAGAAAGCGTTAGAAATTTGATAAGGTTAAAAATGTTATCGAGTGAGAATAAAGGTATTTGAGTGTCAATTTAACAGGTGTGAAGAGGGTGAGAAAACGTGCAAAAGGAACATATGAGAGTGATAAGAGTGAATTAACTATTAAAGTGAAAGCAAAATTTAAAAATAATCTTTTTTTACAGGGAACGACTAGTGAAGAGGTTAAGATCAAGGTAGTTCCATATTAGTTTGTTTATTAGGTATATCACACAGTGAATCAGTATTATTTACTGGATGACGTTTCGAACAAAATTTATTGTTCATAATCATATCAATTGTGATCACACGACATGAACAATAAATTTTGTTCGAAACATCATCCAGTAAATAATACTGATTCACTGTGTGATATACCTAATAAACAAACTAATATGGAATTACTTACTACCACAGTGCCCAAGTTTTACACATATAAGACCCAGGTAGAATAAGAGACTGGACAAAGATTTCTGTATACAGAGTTCGAGGTTGTATTGACGGAACGTCAAAGCCTCCGCCGTACACTAGTGCCGAAATCTAACGCCCTTTGTACCATTCGGCCTCACCTTGTAGATAATCTTGAAAGACGACTCTGGTGGAGCTACGTGGCTTGAGTTCACCAAGTGCTCGAGAAGTGAGCTAGTGTAATTGTTTTGCATTGTCCTCTTGCTAACCATGCCGGATAGTGTTCAGAGATGCGTTTGGAAAGTGTGTACTTTGTGTGGCCAATACAACTAGCTCCATACGGGCTGGTGAATTTATAAACAGACAGTGAAGTGGCCCAAGTGGCAGTTTTGCTCAGCCACAAAGAAGGCTTTTCTCAGTGATCTGGATAAGTGGTCCTCAGGACCTCAGTGGCGGTGTCACCTTTAAATTCACCGTTCATAAATAGCAGTTTCTCCGGCACCGTCTAAGTTCTTTCGAACTATTGCTTCACTTCCATGCTTTTCTTGATGAATCTTGGAGGATATCCATTTTCCATGAGGACTTGTCTGAGTTACTCCAGTTCCCCGTCGATTGTATCACTGGAACATGTCCTTCTTATTCTTGAGGATAAGGAATGAATCCGATTTCTCTTTCTTCTCAAAGGGACCCAACTTTGAAAATTTGTGTACTGACCATTCCATGTTGGTTTCCTGTAGATTGATCTTTGAAGAGAACCATCAGATCTCCTGACTATTTCATCAGATTTCTGCGAGACATTCACATACTACTGAAATGATGTTAGTAGTGGTAGTGGGGTTTACTAATTTAATCTTTATCATGACCAAATGATTGAGCTTCATTGAAGAATTTGGCACAGAAATGCACTGGTCCACGTTGCCACACTCCGTATAGCACACACAAAGGTGGAGGAAAGAAAGAAAAAAGGGATTCAACAGAACTATGATGAACAGGATTGTGTAAGAGAAGGAATAGTAACATAGAAAAACAACAGATTTCGATGGAGAGATCGGAAATCACAAGGAGTGAATCTGCATCTATCTGTTGCAGCTGAGATAGACTTTGATACATTTCACCAATAATATCAAATCATTGGTTCTAAGCATCCTGAGGACTGTAGAAAAGCAGTCCAAACCTCCCTATGTGGCTCAAACTAACTGTTAAAGGTTACATTGATCGATGCCATATTTTGCTTTGACCATGCCCAACTCTTAACTTAACCAATATTATCTCAGCTAACATGCAAGCTACAATACACTGAACAAAAGGGCAAAATAAAGTGCCAGGGAAGACAAAAGAAAACATTATGAAGCTATGGTAAGTGAAGCAGAACAAGTTGCAGGAAGAGCAGACCTGTCAACACTCTACCAAACAACTAGGTTCCCATCGGGAAAAGTCCAACACAAATTAATCCAGTGACGGATGACAATGGAAAGTCAATCACCAAAGAGGTGAAGCAAAGGAAACACTGAGCTGAACACTTCGAAAGACTTCTAAATCGACTTCCACCTACAATACACCCAATAATAGTAACAGTGGAAGCAGAACTACCAGTGGATATCAACCCTTCAACGAGAACAGAAATCCTGAAGGCAATAAAGATGCCAAAAACTTGAAAAGCATCAGGACCAGACGGAATCTCAGCAGAGGCATTGAAAATGGACCCAGAGACATCAGCGGACTTGATGACACCATTTCTGCAGAAGGTGTAGCAAGAGGGCAAGGTACATGCGGATTGGAAGAAAGGTCACTTATTCAAACTACCGAAGAAAGAAGACTTAAGTCAATGCAGGAACTGGCACGGAATTATGCTCCTGTCCATCCCAAGTAAAATAATAAGCCGCATCATCTTGGAGAGAATCAAGCAAGCCCTGGATGAAAAACGTCGACCAGAAGAGGCTGGATTCAGGAGAAACAAGTCATGTATTGATCAAATTGCCACACTACGGATCATCACTGAACAGAACTTGGATTGGCAGTCAGCTCTATATCTCAACTTCGCAGACTTTGAAAAGGCCTTCGACACCATCGATCGAGAGGTGATTTGGTAACTACTTCGTTACTACGGGGTGCCGTCAACAATTAAACATCTCATCCAACAGTTGTACGACAATGCTGCATGCCAATTAATCCACAACGGGAAACTCACGGAATCCTTCGAAGTGAACACGGGAGTAAGGCAAGGCTGGCTGCCTACTATCTCAAACGATTTTCCTGATTGCGGTAGATTACATAATGTGACAGACGGCGGGCAATCAGGAAACAGACACAAAATGGACCCACATGAAAAATTTGGGAGATCTGGACTTCGCCGATGATATATGTCCGATTGCCCACTAACTTGAAGATATGCAAGTAAAAAGCAACAAGTGAGAAGAAGCATCACAGGTAGGAATTCACTCTAGGTGAACATAGAGAAAACGGAGGTGATGAAGATTCCTGGCAGACTGAAGCAACACCAACAACAACAGACAACAGTCAGCATAAGTGGGAGAAATCTGAAACAAGAAACCTCCTTCACCTACCTTCACGCCAGGCCATTGTTCAAGTGGAACCCAAATGGGAAGTGGTGAGCTAGTTGGTCATCAGTGTGAGGGTGACATGTAGAAGGTGATGCGAAGAGGAGATGAAAGCATGTGGTCAGACGTGGAGGCAGATGATGAAAACGTTGGGAGAGAACCGAACGCAATGGAGACGTGTGGCTGAAGACCTATATTCCTCTAGGAACTAAAGGAAACAATAATAATAATTTCAGTTAACACTGCTCATTTAGGAAGGCTGAAGCAGGCTTGGTATGGACAACATGCGTCCTAGCCATCTCAACCGATGTAAAGTCCCTTCTTTATCTAGCACTTTACGCCTAACACAGGAGTTAAAAAGCAAACATCTCTGTGGTCAAAGACAGTCAGGCTTTCCGTATCTTCCACTTTCAATGGGCACATCTGAGAGCCACCAAATTTGGTGGTCATTGGAGTGATGAACACGCTATGAGGGAAGTGCTAGCAAGCAGTTAAGCACAATGCTATTCGAATACTTTGTGTTTTATAACGCCTTTTTATTATAAAACTCACAGAAATACCTATTACTGTAATTTTACATAATCAGACTGATAGTGAATTGATTTTCTAATTACGGGAATATCTCCAGCTGTATGATGATAATGCTTCCAATGTGAATTTCATCATCAGTTGAAATCAGAAAAAGAACCACTGAAAAGAAATAAAGTACTGGACAACTTTCTCGTCCTCGTTTAGGACTACTTCTCATCGTTACGGAGCTACGATGACGTCGTCTAGGACTGAACCCATTACGCTAAGATTACTTCTAAACCTTCCATTTGGGTGTAAAGAGAAATTGAATTAGACAGAGAAAGAGTCAAAATTTGTCAGGTATATAAAAATAACCTATAGAGAAGTATACGTGTAGGGGACTTTCTAGCGAGCTCAGTAACAGAACAATTATTTGAATTAAAATTCAGTTTAATGAGATGATAGCGTAACAGTATATTATTAAATATACATTAATGAGTTACGTAAATAAATCGTTTACTTGGTTGTACAGCTAAAGTCCACTGCTACAAATTATTATTAATATAATCCACAATAGTGTTCACTGTTGGAGTCGTGTCTACTGGTGGTAGAAGCTGTGCACCGGTTGTAGAATAGTCTTCGGATGAGCATAAGCAGTTCCTTCAAAATCTAAAGTATACAACACGGTTATAAGCGAAATAAGTGGACAGTACAAACTAGTGAGAAGACGAAGCGTCGAGCAGCACACTGTACTTCCGATTGTGCTCGGAAGTTATCTATATTCCAACATAAATCGTTTTTAAACAAAAGTCATGTACAATGTCTCTAATTTCAACATCTAACAAAAGAATGTACAACTGTATTGTCATACGTCGCCTGACGCTAATTCTGTAGATTTTCAGATGGTAGTGAAACAGTTCAAAATCATTGGCAGTTGTGAAGGCACACTCACTATTTTGTCATTTTTAAAATCTTGAACATCTTCACCATTTCTTCATTAGTTATTGTGTTTAACTCTTAAGAATCCTTGTCTACTTTATCACGATCTTATTTCCATTGTTTTCTTGTGTAAGATGTTCCAGGAAGATGATACAGTGAGCTGATCTTCTTGAGCTCAGTACTCATATTGGTCGACTGGTCATTGTACTAAGTCTTATCTTGTTATTAGATGCATGCAAGTCATATGGTTTAAAACATTTAATAGATTCATTACCGTCCAGAACAATCTAGATTCAGGAAAAGCAAACCATTTGCGGATCGAATGGCAATTCTAGCCATTATCATCATCGGTGAGAACATTGAAACGGCAGTCAAATCTCTATCTCACATTCATCACCTTTGAAAAGACCTTTCACAGCATGCAGTATGAAGCGATTTGGAAAGTGCTTTAACACTACGGAATACGCCAAACCTTTAGCAAACTCATTCAACAGCTGTATGACAATGCTACATGTCAAGTGATTCACAACGGAAAACTCAAAGAAGCTTTTGAATTGAAGACGGGAGTGAGGCAAAAGTTACCTACTATCATTGGTGATACTGTGGATTACCGCGGAATGGATCATATGGCACACCGTCCATGGGAGTTGAGAAGACAGCCATACGTTGAATTAATGAAAAAACTCTAGGAGAATTGAACTGTAACGAATGATTTACGTCTGTTGTTACATAAACTCTAAGACTTCCATCCAAAAACCTACAAAATGGCCGAAAAAGCAGTAAAGACGGGAATTCATGTGAACGTAGAGAAGACTAGAATGATGAAGATAACCACTTACCCACCACCACCAAGAACAACAACCAGCACTAATGACTGTCAACAGGAGGAATTTGAAAGAGGTTACTTCCTTCATCTATCTAGGAAGCATGCTTTCAACTACAGGCGGGACGAATGAAGATTTCAAGGCCAGAATAGAAAAGACAAGATAAACCTTCAACCTCAACGAAAGGCATTTCCAACAGGTTTTATGCTTTCATCAGCATCTGCCTTCTCTCTATCCTTAAGATCAGATGACCAGAAGGGAATGCCGACAAGGAACTTTTGTTTGGACACTAGTTAGCAACTAGTGTAGTGTGTCTAGTCCTCTGTTTGGTGCAGACTGAATTATATCAGTCACCTGAGAAATATGGCCACCATTCTAGGTGGCTCACCATCACGGTGCTCTTTAAACTGCTGATATTAGATAGTTGAAGAAACTCATATCCCTTCTGAGATTCTAACCCGCATCTCACAGTGCTACAGCTTGCAACCTTGGAGGTTGCAGATACGCCTTGCTGATGAGTGTCAACTTGCACGAAACCTAGGTCGAGTCAAGGCTTCCTGCCGATTGTCTTCAACCATCTAATATCAACAAGGAACTTTGTCAACGGACCAGCCGAAAACTTATTACTTAACAAATATGTTGAAGAAAATGGGGATGGACTGAGCATACGTCGAGAAGACCATTGAGTAACGTCCCCCACCAAACTCTCGAGTAGAATCCGAATCGGGAACAGCGAGATGCCCTTAGATCCGAGGGTGATATGGAGGAGATTGTGTTAGGAGGAGATAACAGCCTGTGGCTAGGAGACTATCGATGGTGGCTTTTTGGCTTCCATCGTTATCAGTGCACACAGAGTGAAGAGGAAGTGAAGAGCCATCAAGTAGAGGAGTTGCATTGGTAGAAGGAAGGCAAGATAATAGAGATGAAGATGGATACAAAGATGAGTGAGGATTAGAGAGGTTTTGCGTGCACTTCGGATTGTGAGGGCGATTGTTACTTCCCGGCTGCCCACTCCGTGGAAGTTGGTTGCGTGACCGCAGAGCCCAGGGGACAACTGCTTGAGGCCGGTCTCACACGGCCTGTTTTTGTTTGTTCTTTTTCATTTGGTGTGTCTCAGTAGCACATTTGTCACTTCTGCCCTGTGACACCGCAGCAGGAAGCGCGGTCGTTGTTAATCCGGGCCCCGACCGATCCGGCATGATATTTTGTGGATTTGTTTGAGTCATGTCATTGGATTGGGTAGCTGCTTTTTGTCTAACCGCTATCCAAACAACCTTTCTGGCATGGTAGGACCTACAGGAACTTTAGTTCCAGCCAGTATAGCTCGTTGGGTCATTGCGATATGCAAGCCCGACCATCACGTCAAGGTAGCAGCTATCAGTTGGGTACAGCCTGTGGGCAGCCATGGAGTCAGATAAAAGGGACTGCAGAGAACTAGATAAAATGGAGTTGTGCTACAGAGACCCTACATTCCACTAGGAACTCAGGTCAGAGATCAAAATGACTATGTGTATATTTATATGTAACTATCAGTTACCAAGGCACCTTCTTACAAATAATTCATTTGTTATCCATTCGAAATCTTGTTAGGAAGTTGAGAATCAGGTGATCACGTGCTGTGAAAATACCGCGAATTTATTAGACGCAAGTTGGGAAAGACAAAAGAGTCTTTTTGATACCAATTTATCCAATGAAGTAAGTGATATACTTTTATTTTAAATTTTTAAAAGCTTTGATTTCCTTTTCAAACATGTGAATAGTCTCCTAAGTAGATTGTAAACATTTTGAAAATTTGTGACTCCTATGGACAGGTATTTGATGTGTTTGCCTTCTCTGGTGTAACTACGAGTCTTTCGTTATGTTTATGGATAGCATTTTTAGGGACTGACTGACTGGTTTCAACAAAGAACTTGACACAGATGCGGACCAGTTCGAGTTGCCATACTCCCTTCATGTAGCACACAAAGCAAGAGAAGAAATTAAAGAGAAATTCAAAAGACAGATAATAAACAGAAGTGTGAGTGAGGGAAAGACAACAGAGTTTTATTGAATGATATGATAAATTACAAAGAGTGAGTGAATGCATCTTCGCCAGCCGATTGAGAACGATTTTGAGCCATATCACCGATAATTGTCTCCAGCCTTTATTGGTTTTTACCATTTTTTCGACAAAGCCAACTAGCCTGACAGTGTACACATCCCTAAGTAGCTTAAACTAACTGTTGTGGATTTCACTATGGATAAAATTTATTTAGATAAAGTCACGCAGTGTCGTTATACAGTACTATTTACTAATGACCACGTTTCGAGCAAAATTTATTACTGCAGCTCATAATCATATCAAGGCACCACTCACACAAATTTTCGCTTCGTTTATATACATGAGTAAAACTGATGATTCGACACTTGAATAAAATCAATCAATATAAGATAAAGTACATTCGGAAATAGCAATATTAGTGTTATCAATCAAATACAATAAGATGTTTTTATTGTAAAATAAATAAATAAATAACTTGTTAGAATGTTATGCTGTGAATTGAATTGAAATACATTTCAACATTATTTATAATCCTCCTCTGATTTGACTAGTGGTAACAATATCTCCCATGCATATCTCTACTATCTGCGTCACTGAGTCACTACTGTTGCATGTGTTGGGTGTAGACTCGATGAGCCAGCATATCATTGACTGATGAAGCCATGTTTTGATTCGGCCACCACTAACTCTTTTCCCATCTGATCCTATATCAGCTAACATTGCCTGCCGAAGAAGGCGATGACCAGGCATTCATGCATAACACATGCCCTAACCATCTCAATCGGTGTAACAACGTCGTCGATTGATTTCCTCTCCCACCTACCTAGCACTCGACGCCTAACCGATGCAACATTACTCACCTTATTGTACCACCTAACACGCAGACACCTATGATCAAAGAAAGCTGGGCAATTTCTGCAAGTCTTCCACTTTCGAAGGCCATGTCTCACAGTCATAATGGAGGACAGACCGGACTGCTGAGTAGTACACACGTCCTTTGATCGACAGTCAGCCAGGTGTCACGTCTACGCCAGAGATGGCGTAATTTGGTAAGTGCGAGGAAAGCTTTAACTGTTTCATTGTTTATTTCAGTATAAAATGTTGTTTTTGGAGTTCTCCACGAGTGATGTAACTGCCTCTCCTGACGGCCATGATTATGATTGGTTAACTTCATTTGATAATATGCTGGTCTTCAAGGAATTAGCTCTCTGATAAAACCAGAAATACAAAGACTAAATGGAGTATATAAGGAAAAATTTTTATCATGTAAGAATGCTTCCAACATCTGGAAACGCTCTAATCAACTCACAAGCAAAACAAAAATTTCTATTAATGCTTATTATTTTATTATTATTTATTATTTTGATTACAGCTTGATGCCACACCGTATTTTCAGTACAAGTGTGGAATTTTCAGCATGGATATCGGTAGCCCAAATTTTGCAGGCCGATCATAGATATCGGATGTGCGTCGGCAGGTGATCGAACCCCGGACCATGTGCATGGTCGGCGAGAGTCCTAACCACTGTGCCACCGACGTAAATGCTTTAAATCGATCTTTTATAATGCAACAAGCTAATATGATTGAACCTGATGTTTCTAGTCATATAAATGAACATTTCCCTGGTTTTAACCAAAAGGAGGCATTAACATGTTTTAAATCGTTAAATCCATTATTCAGCCTAGGTCCTGATGGTGCACCAAGCATTTTGCATCAAAAGTGTGCTGGAATTTTGTGCCATCCTCTTACACAAATCTTTGATGCATCATTTCACAGGGATGCAGTACCTTTTGGTTGGAAGGAAATGAAGGTTGTGTCTGCGCCAAAATCCGCTTCTTGATCAGGTTTAAAGTTTAAGCCGATTGCCACCACGTCTCCATTTCTGAAAACTTTGGAGAAACTTCATCTGCGTGTTCTCAAGTCATAAAAATGTTCAGTGATCCAAAGCGGTTTGCCTATAAATGCCACTATTGTACTCCATCACAACATTGATCTGAAATAATAGAGAAGATTTGTAGCTCAGGTGGATGATTTGGAATTAGTTGTGTTCTCCGATGAGGTGGTTGGCTTAATTGCGAAGCTTTCGTGGTCCTGCTTCTAGAAAACATCTTCAGAGCAAGTTTTAGCATAAAATGAACTCATTTGAATTCTCCATGAATACGGATATAATTGTGTCTCCTGGTAACCATCTTCGTGACTGGTAGTTGATTTACACCTGTATTGATTATTTTTTTATTGACTTGGAATTTGAACTTTCTTGTCACGTGATGATTTACTTTTTATTGATTGGTGACCATCATTGAAGACCACAAGAAAATTCATTCTACGATATTTAAAAAAAATATCTCTGAAATAACAATTAGAATATTAAGACCGTTTGAAATAGATACAGCACACAAGCCAGTCAGCCAGCCAGCACAACCATTTCATTCGATATTGTGCAAATCAAAAGATCCAACAAGAAAAGAAGATAAAATTAATACCATTTACAAAATAAAGTGCATGTACAAAGTGGGCGTCCCCTTCGAATCTGAATCCAAGAACACAAATTGGCTGTAAAAAGACGTTTCGAGCACACAACCACACAATATGATGGTGGGACAGTGTCGAAATTCCAAAGAGTAATATAGGTAGGTGGAGAGAGAGAGAGAGGTGGTTGATTACTGAATCCTGCCTGGTTCATCGAGTCTACACCCAACACATGCAATAGAAGTGACTCAATGGAAATACCAGAGATATGTATGGAAGATATTATTACCACCAGTCTGTCAAATCAGAGGAGGATAATAAATAATATTAAAATGTATTCAATTCACATTCTAAGAAGTTATTTATTTATTTTACTATAAAAACATCTTATTTCCCATCTTATTGTATTTTATTGATAACACTAATATTATTATTTCTGAATGTACTTTATCTTATATTGATTGATTTTATTCAAGTGTCTAATCATCAATTTCACTCATGTATATAAATGAAGCAAGAAAGTTATGTGAGTAATGCCTTGATATGATTATGAGCTGCAGTAATAAATTGTGCTCGAAACGTGGTCATCAGTAAATGTTACTGTACAACACTGTTTGACTTATCAAAATGAAACCTTATCCATAATGGAGTTATACTCTAACACAGTACCCAATTTTTATACTTATATCAATATCAATATATATATATATATGTATATATAAAGCAATAAGAAGACGTAATTTGTTTGAATCTTGTAATATATTTCCACAACACATTTCGAACACACAGGCTTACCATAGGAATACATATATGAAATTTATAAAGAGTTAAGAGGTGAGAAAATAGACTACTTAGGTCAGGTTAAAAGGACATATTGAAGGTCAAAATAACAATGAAGACCACTAAACCAAATAGCAGAGTTAATAGTACATCTGCTGTGGTATCAAAACAAAATTTACCAAGGAAGGTTTAATGTGACGACGAATTGTTTTTGAACGCATAAAGGTGGCTTAAACTTTCTAATTGTTAGGGCTTCCACAAACTTTAGGATACGCCCTCCGGCAAACACGTCTTATAGATAGGTTTAAAAGATCTGTTAACGTCAATTTTATGACCTTTCTCTATAATGTTTCGCAATAGGAGAGCTAGGTCTTCTGTACCTCTGCTATTTGGTTTACTGGTCTTCATTGTTATTTTGAACCTTCAATATGTCCTTTTAACTTGACGTAAGTAATTTATTTTCTCACCTCTTAACTCTTTATTAATTTCATACATATATTTCTATGACAAGTAAGTGGAGTGTGATCTGATTGTTCGAAATAGGTGTTGCGCAGATACAACATTACAAACGATTCAGACAAATTACGTCTTCTTATTGCTTTATCTAAATTCATAAAGGGAACTAATTGTTTAAAAAAAATTATATATATATATATAGGATTTTGAAGGATCACTATAATATTTTTCTTCAATTTTATTATTAGCAACTTTTAGAATTAGAAATATCAGATCTAGAATCTTTATGGAATCAAATCAATAATGAATATGTACAACGTAGAAGTGCAATTAACAATTTAGAAAGTGACCTATTTCTTCATGAAAATACGCGCGCTACCAAGGTGAAGTATACGAATATGCATATAATTTTATTTAAACAATCTGATAACTTGATCAAATATCTTTACGATTTTTAATTAACTCTTAATAAAGTTTCTGTCAAAATAGATTACACTATCATCACTTGATGTTACATTTAGAGATTTTGAAGTGCAACAGGCATAGAGCTTGTCGACTGCAAGCACATTACTATCAAGATACCGAGTAAGAACCTAACCAACATGATCTATCACTTCTGGTAGCTGATAGAAAGTCGTGACCAATTCAATTCGTGATTGGTTGTTTTTGTGTATTTTCTCACCTTCTGGGCTACTTGTATTGGAACTGATTGTTTCCTTGACTTGAACTTTGGCCCTTTGTGTGTGAGATTCCCTTCTTATGGGTTGGTAAATTTTGTGTATCTCGATGTTTGACGATTCAGTGGAATACCAGGTAGCCTTCTCAAAATTCTCTAGCATTCTTGGTGTTTCCTCTGTCTAATATTTGAACGTCGTCTTAGTCGAATTGATGCCCGTAGTTGTCTGTACGTAGTGATATGAGGGAGTGGATTTCATGTCTTTTGACGGCTAGTTTGTGATCATGAATATGAAGACGAAGAGGATAGGCGTCTACTTTGGCCAATGTAGTATGTTTTGCAGTTGTTAGAACTTATTTTGCAGATGACGTTGAGTCTTTTGGTTGACAAAGAGCCAGCTGAGTGAAGTGATTTTGTTAGTTTGTGTGCGACATCAATTCCTAAAGGTTTGAAGAGTATTGTAGTGGTTTCTGAGATGTCCTTTCAATATGGTAGGACTATTTTCTTTGTGCTTTCCTTCGGGGCTTTTGATTTGGTAGGTTGGCTTGGGAGTTTATGTCTTTTGATGAAATTCCGTAGATATCCATTCTTTTGGAAGACGTTCATGAGATGTCTTCCTTCAATCCTCCTTAAGGTGGGAGTGCTGCTCTCTTGATTAGTGTTTGTGTACAGCTCATTTTGTGTGTTATTGGATTATTACTGTTTTAATTGAGTATTTGGTCTGTGTGAGTTGATTTTCTGCAAACTTGAGTTTCTAATTTTCCTATGGTTGTTCGCTTGACTAACACGTCCAAAAATAGGATTTTATTCTCGGATTCCTCTTCTCTTGTGAATTTGATGTCGTTGAAAACGCTGTTTATTAATTTGTGAGCTTTGTCCAACTCGTTTCTTTTGATTATTACAAATGTGTCATCTACGTAACGTATCCAAATTTTGGGTTTAGTCTTTGGTAGGATTATATTTTCTAGCCTTTTCATTACTGCTTCTGCAATCAAACCTGATATTGGCGATCCCATGAGTGTTCCATTAACTTGTTCATATATTTGGCCGTTGAATTGGAAGTACGTTGTTTGGCATAGGTTTATGCATTGTCATCTAACTTGTGTGTTGCATTTTTGATTGTTGTGGGAGGTGTTGGTCGTTGCTAAGTAATTGTTCCATGGTTTCTTTTGCTAGTTTTTGTCCGATTGAGGTATACAATGCTGTGAATTCGAAGGATATCATTATTTCTTGGTCATCTATTTGGATGCCTCTGATTTTCTCTAGAAATTGGATAGCAGAATTGATTCTGTTAGGTGCTTTTCAGTTTTCTGTATAATTCTTTGGATAAATTGTATGTTGGAGTTCCTGGGAGTAATATAACTGGTCGTAAAAGGGTATTTGGTATAACACCATTCTTTGAATTCTCGCAAAAGTTTTATGTGTCAGTGTACTGGACCTTTTTTTTATGGTTCAACAATGTGGCGATATCAGAAGCTCTGACAGTTACTCTTGAAGAGCATCAAAACAGTTAACAGAATATTCAAAAATATATTCGAAAATGTTTGCTAAAGTATTGTGATAAATAATAGCAATGATGAAATAACTTCACAACCGGTTGGTTGGAAAAAACACAAGTTAATTGACTACAATATTCCATTCTGAGAGGCAAATTATCATTTGAATTAATATGTATATTCCGTGTAATGGGGGCTCATATTCCAGAGGGAACATCAGGTCTTCCAAGGTTGCAGATACGCCTTGCTAATACGAGCCAGCAATCATGAAACCTAGTTCCAGGGTCTACTGCCAACTATCTTCAACCATCTGACATGATTATGGAGTGTACTTTGGTGACGGTGAGTTACCTAGCTTGGTGATACCATTGCAATCAACGCCATGGACTAGACGCATGAGACTGATTACTCTTTAGTGTCTAATCGATGCATCTTCAGTTTTTGTATACCTCATTCATTTGTACACACTGGATTGGAACTGATGGAGAGGGTTTCGGTGTTACTGCATCCTCCTAGCTGGATGGTTTAGACTTCAAAGGTTTCATTGTTTTTCTAGACAAGAATTCTCCAGAGTTAACATTAAAACTTTATCATCTTACCGATTTTACCTACAAGGATGACAGTGAAAGTCTCAGCAACCTCAACAATCCAGTTGAGGTTTGAAAGAACCTAAATAAATTGACTGGGAGCAGATAAGTTACGCTGAGTCAGATACAGTTCTAATGTTTTCTGTATAAAAGCATGTAAGCTTGATTGGAAGATTTCATCATGATCTGATATCGGTTAGAGAACCATTGGGGAACCAACTGGGAGTAATGGACAGCTGTTTCATCCTAGTTTCGGACTCTTCATCAGTACGCAACCACCGAGGTTCGAACGCAGGACCTTCTGGTTACAAGAACAGCTATTTGGTTGACCATTAAGCCACTGGGACCCACTGGGTGCATACTGATGAAGAGTCCCAGGCCAGGGCAGAACAGCTGTCCAGTAGTCCCGGTTGGTCTCCCAATGGTTCTCTAACCAATGTCAGCTCATGATGAAATCCTCCAGCCAAGCAAACAAACAAAAATATCCCTACAAAGTCAATACTTAAAAGTTTGTAAATATAATAGGCTCCGAATAACTTTGAGAAAAATTTCGGAAAAATTATGACATAAAATAAAAGATGTTCAGTGAACAGTTACCCTTTCCAACGATATCATTCTTAAGATGTACAATCACATCCATGTACTATACATGAATGATTAGAACTCGAGTGGTAACACCAACAAGAAATCATCATCAAAGGCAATAAGGAAATTCAGCTCACTATATATAAAATAATATCTCTGAAATAACAGCTAGAATATTATTGTTTTGTTCCTAATAACAAAACTCATCATTGTGAGTAAACTATTGAAATATAATTATACTTTATTTAATCTAATCCACAATGCTCAAACTTTTTACTGATATTAAGTTATGAGCATTTGTTAATTGCAATATCCTGTATACATGTTGAGAAAAACATTTGTTAAGGTTATGCATGTTCAGTCAGATATGTGTAGTAAAACTATGTGGTTATTCATGATTGGACACTAGCCAGTAACTAGTGTAATATGGCCAGTCCTTTCTTTGTTTGCAGATTGAATTCTGTCAGTCAGTCAAGTTTGCAATGTGGCCACCATGCTAGCTAGGCGACTTGCCATCATGGTACAATTTGAATTGTTGGTGTTAAGTAGTTGGAGGCAATCGGCAGGAAGCCTTACCTGTCCTAGGTGTTGCACTAGTTGGTACTCACCATTCAGTCAGCAAGACAGGCGTATCTGTAACCTTGAAGGAACTCATGTCGCTTCTGAGATTTGAACATGTGTCACTCAGTACTGCAATCAGAGACTTTATTACTGAGCCATTAGGGCTCAGTGATCATTCGCTACACATCTATACAGGACCATAAATTGTTTTCAAGATTGGGAGACAACAGAATTAAGGTAGGTCAGGAGTGATTATGAGCACACTTTAATCAGAGAAACATTGAAAACCATGGAGTATTGAACTGACTGACTGGTCTCAACTTAGAACTTTGCACAGATGTTTAGCAGTTCGAGTTGCCACTCTGCCTTCATGTACCACACAAAGCAAGAGAAGAGGGTGAAGAGAGGTGCAAAAGAGAGATAATAAACAGAAATGTGAAGCTAAAAGAACAATAATATGGAAGAGCAATAGAATTTTATTGGATATTATAAATCACAAGGAGTGCATCTTCACTCAATTTGAGCCATATCACGAATTGTCTCCAGCCTTCATTGGTTTTAACCATCCCGAGGACCCCAACCAGCCAGTCAGGAATTCTACATCTCCCTATGTAGCTGACAGACTTAAACTAACTTTTGTGGATATCATTGACTGATGAAGTCATGTTTTCGTTTGACCACCAACCACTAGCTCTTTTCCTACTTGATCCAACCTATGTCAGCTAACATTGCCCGTATTGGACAAGTGCTTCGTCCTTTTCCGGGACTCGTTAGAATTAAGGACTCAGGACCCGATCATGGTAAGCTTTGTGACAATTCATTCACTGAGAAAGAATCCAATGGCCCATAATTTTTAACTTCTGCCTACTGCTAAGGAGTTCCGAATAAAGACGAGACAGCTATCCAGTACTCCTTTTTTCAATGGATGTCCAACTGAAGTTAGTTCGTCAGCATTACTGCAGTCAGTTAAATCCCTACAAACCAATTCCTTTAAAACAATGTAGGTCAATTAAATCACTTTGCTTGAATTTATAGTTTTAAGCGCATTTCACAGGATAAGTAGAACTTGTACAAAGAATTAAATAGTGAGGAAATAGGCTAATTTAATTGTTTTTTTCATTCCCTTTTCCTCCACTGAATAATTTCCTATAGATTAGAGAAGAATTCCATGAGTTGACAGATTATTTAAGCAAATATTCCTATTTATCACCGAATGAATTACAAACAACTTTACAAAAAGAAATATTTGTAAGTTAAGCAATTAATCTTTTATTTACAGTAGAATTACTTTTTACCGATTTAAACAAAAGAATAAACCAGGGAGTACTGGTCATCTGTTTCATCCTAGTTTGAGAATCATTAGCAGTATGCACCCACTGCCAGGGGTCGAACCCGGTACCTTCCGGTTACAAGACCAACGAGGTCGTATACCCATTCAGCCACTGGGCTCCGATTGAATGGCCCACGAATGGTAAAACTGGTAAAAACAAATCTAATCCTTACAAACAAACCCTTGAAAATTAATCTTATGCTCGTTAGCGACTTGCTACAGGACGGAGTTTCCAAGACTTCTAGTGAGAAGTCGTGACCAGTGAGGTCCAACCAGTCAAGTGGATTTCCCACCGATGACATTGGTTGGTGGTCGCGCTAAATCACGAATTGGTAGAAGTAAGATAACATGGACTGGCAATTGAAGAGTCGGGTCCCAGTGGCTGAATGGTATACGAGCTCGCTGTCCTTGTAACCGGGAAGTCCTGGGTTCGACCACTGGTAGTGGGTGCGTACTGCCAATGATTCTCAAATAAGGATGAAACAGCTGTTCAGTACTCCCGGCTGGTTTTCAATGGTTCTCTAACTGATATCAATCCGGAAAAAGCAAATCTTATCCTTTCAAACAGACTCTTGAAAAGTCTAAACGTTATCCTGTTATTGTACTATGTTCAAGTAAGGAATCAGATTGATCAGAGATAATCGTTAGGAGGCCAGTTTCTTTGGTTTCGTGATCAAGACGAAGTTTTTTGCATGAACTATTTTCGTGCTTGGTGGAATAGACATTCTTTCTAAAATTCAATTCTTCACCCCTCAGCGAGGTATTCAGAGACACTACAACTGAGTTATTTAAGTTACGATTAATCGCATGTAGGTGTGAGGTAGATACAACAACTGGTCACTTAGAAGATAACATTGTTATCTTATCTAGACCTTAGAAGTGACCTGGTTTCTGTCATGAGGGAGTTTTAGCACGAGTGTTACACAGTAAAGTACAAGATCCTTGAATGTCCCACTAGAGGATCTCGAGCACACTTTTTACACATAGTTAAGTTAATGGCGATTCTGTTTTATTTTCACTTCTATGTCCAGTTTTCTGTACATTTAGATTGATGAGGTTATTATTATATCTGTTGTGCAATATTGATTGCTATTACTCAATTTATATCTGTCTGTTGGCTTCTAGATTTTCTCGTACTTCGTAAAACATCTCCTGAAGCATAACTACTGGTATTTGTTTGGTTCCATTGGATTCTCAACTCTATAGAAATACGAGTGTAGAGATTTTGAAAAACAGCTCCCTCAAAGAGAAAATTTTTTTCTGTACTGCTTATTCTTGTTAGCACTCAGCATGGGAATTCTCCAATCCGTTGATCCATACGTTATCCTTAGGTTAAAAATACATGAATGTTTTTCAAGTATTGGTTTTGTAGGGATTGTGTTTGGTTGGTTGGAGGGTTTCATCATGAGCTCTTATCAGTTAGAGAACCATTGGAAAACCAGCCACAGGGAGTACTGAACAGCTGTTTCTTCAGCAGAGTTTGGCACACAGCAGTGGGTGCGTACTGCTGAAGAGCCCCAAACTGTACTGTTTTCAATATTGGTACCCGCTTGGGTTACTTTTTGACCGATCTCAGGCCTAAGAATCGATATTAGTCAGTATCACTTATCACCGGGTGTTACTTTACATTTCTACATTAAATGGTGAATTGTTTAGTACTTAGAGCCAATCGATAGATATCTGTCCAGATAAGAGATACATTTTACTGTTAATTGGTGTTAAGAACCAGGTTTCAGGACGGTCAACTGACTGTTTCCAAACAACCGGCCAGACAGCCAGCCTCACTTCATTGTATCCAGTGATCGGCAAAATCCATCTAGCATTAACGATTAAACGATATGACAGTAGATACTCATCAGTAAATATTCAACGTATGGCTGACCATCTATGGAAATCTTCATTGCGCAATCATTACCGACTAGTCTGTAAGAGAGAGAGGATAATGATGATAAAAGTTTCTGGAAATATTTTATTTGCAAGTGCCACTTTGTAGGAGTTTGATTGGTTTCAAGTTTGGTTGCGGATTGATATTAGTTAGAGAGTACTGGAGATTCGAGATCGAATGACCCATGAACTTCTGTCACTTCAAGATTTTTACGGCGAATTACACCCGATGTTATTGGGCGAGTATTTGTCATCGCAGCCGCGCTGGTGAACCCAACTGGTTATGACTATCCACCAGAAATCCAGGCAACTTTGTCCTGTAGTCAGTCATCTAATGAGCATGAGATTAATTTTTAAGTGTTATTTTGAAGGGGTTTATTATTCTATGCCTTTGAGTTCCCAGTGGAACATAAGGAGCCAAGCTAGAGCTTCGAAGTTTAGGTAGCAGTGGTGTTTATTTTTACGAGGTAAAGTTGCTAACCTCATGCCAACCTACCTTCCTTCTTTTCCGTTAAACGAGGTTTAGGAGTGTGTCAGCGGGGGACTGAACTTTGAACTACGTGCATGGTTGGTCAGCATTCCACTGCTGAACCACCGACGCACTTGAAGGAGTTTGATTATACAATATTGGCAAAGTCATTTGATGTTAATGTTATAACCGATTATCCCTAGCTATTTATCTGGTGAGAGCTAGCTGCGAACAAGCCGAAATTGTAAACAACAACGTCCAGAATCAGGGCCATGAGAAAAATGATAACAAAGGTTAACCTTGAGGAACCCACTAACCAATCACAGCAGACTTAACGTGCGCCAATAAGATTCGCAGATATATGACTTGACTTTCTGAGAAACGGCTACAAGCAGTACAGAATAACCTTCAGCAAGAAAACAGTCAATCAGAGGACGTTGCTTATCTGCTGACAATAATGCACATAAAAATCTATAAATATCTGTTGATTTGGTCAATAAACAATCTATTTCATAGCCTTTGTCTTCTGTCGTTACATTTCTGCGACAGTGATGTAACGACCAAAACCGAATCATCGTGGTCTGAACTCAAGTAACCGATCATCGCATCCTGATCAGAAACCTCCTTGAGACAAGTACAGTCACAAGATGCTACGAAGACAGCAAAAAGAGGATTATTCGTCATGAGATCTATGGCCCAACTGTATAATAATAACATCAGGAACTCAAAATTACCCCAACAGTGTCGTTAAGCAGCTCTAAAGGCTAGATGATTTCCTAGTACAAATCAGGTACTGTAGAACAAAATTCGTTAACCAAAATTCAACCGTTTGAGATACCTGAAAATCAGGTCAGAATGACCTTGACTAACTCGAAAAAAATCAAACCGTAAAATAACACATTATCAATGTATTGCACAACCACAAAGAGAAAAATTAAACAAGCAAAAGGACAAATAATCGGGATCAAGTCAACATATGAGATAGTTAGAGTTTATGAGAGGAAAATGTATAATAATCACAGAGTTAGTTGAAGCATCCAAATAAGCGTATAAACATTGTGATTAGATTGTCAAGGAGGAATTTTCCAAACAATTATCACTTTACAAGTAAGAAGGCGTAGTATTGAAGCTATGCATCCAACTGAGCCTGAAATTTAAAAGCCCGCTACAGGTTAGTTATCTACAAATAAAGACCTTGCGGCGTCTACATCTACGTCTACGTGTATAAACTTAGTGATTACACTGAATAAAGAAGTTCAACCTCAGTTGCATCTTCATTGGATTGGATAAAACCAAAGATAGTTGGTGGATGGTGACTAGTAATGGAATCCAGGATGCGCATTTCGTCCTATATGGAACTCGTCAGCCAGTGGACGTACCTGCATTCACTCACTGAGTCATTGATGGTGTTCCCACCAAGGCTCAAACCTAGTGCCTATAGTTTCAAACACCGAAGTGTTATCCACTAGACCACTTGAGCCACGGTGTGAAAATCATCACTCACTGAGGAATGCAGGTACATCCAATGGCTGACGAGTCCCAAAATAGGACGAAATGCTCATCCTGGGCTACACTACTAATTACCATCCACCAATTAACTTCTAATTACATGACCAGACATCATCGAAACATCTGCACAAGAAGCCGATATGTCAATCTGAGACTGAGCATTTCGGTCCAATCAATCGACCGAAAAATCTAAAATTGAATTAAATAAAATCGAAGATGTTTATTTATACATTAAAAAAAAATACTTTTTAGGCTGTTGACATCGAATTACTGGAGAATTATCGTGAGTTAGCAAGTCTAACAAGGAATCTTCACCTTGCTGAATTGATAAATCATCGGTACACTACACTTGCATGGTCAAATTATCGGCAAAACTGGCAGAAAACAATTATCAAGGACGCTTTACAAAATTTTGAGTAAGTGAAAAACTATTACTGACCCAAAAGTAATATATGTATACATATATATATCGATGTTTATCCTTTGGTTTCTGAGTGAAACCAAGGCCATTAGAAGCATATCTCCATTGAACTTCATTCTCTACCATCACTATTTTAACTGGCTCCACTGATGCTGCTACACTTTCATTCCCTTTCCGCATAATCTCTTCCATGTCATATTTGAACCTATACCCACTCAGGTTCCACTTCAGGGCCTAGAGTGTAATGTCACTGGAATGACTCCTCGGTTTATGTCCTATCCATCTCAATCTCCTCTTATTGGTTGGAGGATTTCATCATGAGCTGATATCGGTTAGAGAACCATTGGAAAACCATGAGGGAGTACTGGACAGCTGTTTCGTCAGCCTATTTTGGGACTCTTCTGGTCTACGAGCTCGCCTTGTTACCAGAAGGTCCTGGATTCGAACCACAGGGGTGCGTACTGCTGAAGGGTCCCAAACTAGGCGGACGAAGCAGCTATCCAGTACTGCCTTCTGGTTTTCCAATGGTTCTCTAAGTGATTTCAGCTCATGATGAAATCCTGTAACCAATCAAACTAAATCCGTACAAAAATCATCAGGTTATCGGTTGGTTCACTGCACTCTGGAGTTCTTTGTTGCTTAATCTTTTTAGTCGGCCACATCTTGACGTTCATATATGGAGCGAAGGCAGCCGTTAATGAAAATTTGCGTCAGTTGTCTGGATCAAATATGCATATATATGTGATATTACTTTAATCCTATATTGTGTATGTTAGTTACTCTCAATAAGACGAAAAACTATGTAATTAGTGGTGTGCTCATATAACAGCATACTCTCAGACAAAACCCAACATTTATGCGTTTTATTCGCCATTCTAGTGTGCCACTAACCTTGTGAAACAATACACAGTGCTGTGTACTTTTTCCAAGGCATATTATTAATTCACTTTAAACAAAAATATTCAGAGCAACGAATTTCGCAGAAGAAAGTTTGAAAAAAATCAATATGATTTCTATCCATCGATCCAACAACGAGGGGCCAGTTAGGGTACATACCTTAATTCCATTTGAAATTAAAGTAAAATACTCAAATATCTACAGGTGGGAAAACTACTAAGTTGGCAGAAGAGACTGACAACGAAGACAGGACTTCAAGTGAATATAGAGAAGGTAGATGCGATGAGGACATCTAGCCAATAACAGCAACAACCATAGATGGCTATCAGTGGAAGAAGTCTAAAGGAAGTTAGCTGCTTCAATTATCGAGATAGCATCGTTTCAACTAAAGGTGAAGATGTCAAAGACAGGGTTACTCTGAAATCAGGGTGGAAATCTTCTGTATCCAGCATCAATGGAACAAAATTTGAACTTCTAACACTAACATCAAGCCAGTCACTTCTTCTTTATGATGGTTCAGATACTTGACGCGTCACCGAAAGCATTTTATTACAGCTAGCTGAAGACTTTTATCAACAGCTGCTACATTCGCTGACTTCATACTGAAGATCGACTGGCGAGAAAGATATGCAACTCTAGCAATGAATCAACCAAGAACCTATTTCTCCACAGAATAAAGTTAAAATGGACTGGATATACGTTGAGGAAACTGTTGAGTGACATCACGCGACAGACAGACACTTAAGTGAAGTCCGAATGAGAAATAATGTTAAACTAACTATCGGGTTTCAGAGGTGTGAACGCTCCAATGACCTTGAACTCGTGCTATTCGTTGGCTAATGGTACCTGTCATTATCATAGCAGCAAATTTCACCCGGATCACGTTTGTACAATGTGTTAACAGCTCGTTAGGTTTAGGATTTGGATTAAGGTGGGTATTAGGGATAGGGTTATAATTAAGGTTAGTGTTAAGGTTAGGGTTACAATCAGAGATAGATTTAGAATTAATGTCATTTATTTTAATTCATTTTATTATCCACATTTGCCTGGTAAGTAGTCGTCGATTTTCTTACTGGAAACCATAGTAATTCAACCGAGGGCTTTTGCAAAAGACTGCACAACAGGAGAAGAGAGATAAACGACTCACAAAAACAGCCTATCTTCATTCAGTTAGAAGAACATCTTGTCTACATTAATCATTCCATCTCAACAAACGACTCCTTCAGAGTAATCTACAAAGTAAAGAATAACCTACCAAAGGTAATACGCTTCCGTCTTCTTTGCATTGCTGAAGTCCTAGCCATTCTCTTATAAAAATTAGAGTCATGCATACAAAAGAAAATCATTCAATCACTTCTACTATGATGGCAACAATCGTTTTGACATCTACTTAGTTGATTTTTGTGTGCCTGCTTTTCTAACTCCTTATGACTGTTGTATTTCTTTATAACTCCTACATAGTTCTATATTTTTCTTTGCTTCTATGTGCATCCTAATCACAACTCACTCATCAATTAATTCGCCTTGTTACGTAACTTTATAGCGCTTATTCAACTTCTTTTATGTGTTGATTAACATTATTAACTATGTTGGTTTTTCGACAACACATCACCACTATCTTTTTACCAATCTTCACTGCCACTCCAGTTATAATTCGATTATTCATCACATTTTTGAAATGTCTTGACAACAATGACCCTGACTTATTTTTATTCTCCTCGGACAAGACTGATGTACACACACACACAAATAAGTATATGTAATGGCGATTGTACAGCTAAGTGTGAATGAATTCGCCGGCGAAAAGAGACTCTTCTCTGAACTACGCGTTTTGTTTTCATCAATTCAGAGCGCCGAATCACTTCAAATCACCCAATTTCTGACTAACTACTTTGGCGAACTCACAATGCAAGAAACGAAATTCATAATTTTTATCCAATTTTAGATTTTTCCCGTTGACTGATTAGACCGAAGTGCTTGGTCTCAGGCTGACACTTCTCGGTGGGAACACCGTCACTGACTCACTGGGCGAATGCAGATATATCCACTGGCTGACGAGACCTAAATAGGACGAAACGCGCATTCTGGTGGATTCCACTGTTAGTCACCATCCACCAAGTGACTTCATAATTTACAATTTACACACAGGATCACAATACATGATCTGCTTAATATTATCAATGATAATCAAGAAAGCAAACATGAATACAGTTACCGGTTGGCCTAACCAGTAGTGGCATTTAATTAAACTCTTATTTCAGGTATACTGTGAACTAATTTATAAATATACTATATTACTGTTTATTAAACTTCTATGCTAATTTTGAATATCTGTGTAGATTTTCAATTAAAGATGAAAAATTTCAACGTCCATCTGAAGTGAAAATTGAAATATACAATTTATCCAAGAAATATGAAGAATTTGAAAGCGCAAAAGCAAATCTAATCAATGAATTTTGGTAAGCCCTATTCATCTCACATTGTATTGATCTTTTTTGTTTTTCAATACGAACTGAAACTTTTTATGTCTGTCTTACCATCACTTGTTGACCGTATAAAATTATTTGAAAGAAGTCTACTGGTATCTTTAAGAAAAGTATCACTGCAACTTAAGCTCCATCAGAGACTTGTATACACCTTTGATTAGACACTAGTAATTAGCGTGATGTGTCTAATCCTTTGTTTGGTTGGTGCAGACTGAATTCTGTCAGTCAGGTTTGAAATGTGGTCACCATTCTGGGTAGCCTGCCATCACGATGCACTTTGAATTGTTGAAAAATAGATGGTTGGAGGACATCGACCGGATGCCTTCAACCAACCATCTAACATCAACAACTTGTGTGCACTAATTGAAAATATGTGAAATAGGAATTATTCGACACATATCCGCTGGGATATCTGAAAAATTCTACTACCCATATGACAAATAGGAGAGAACAAAGAAAACTATAAAGAGAAAGTCTCAAAGTCGTGTGATTATAACTGATGAAGTGATTATGAACAATGAATAAATAGTGTTTGAAACTTCTTCAGCCAGTAAATAATTCGGTGATTCGGTGACTGTGTGATATATCTAACTAACAAATTAATATGGAGCACATACTCCTAGTTTCCCCATGCATATAGCGAGGGTTTCTTCAGTGTGAGGAATATGGAAGCACATTGTCTTGTGTACATTTCATTTTTACTTTGCAAATGGCTCCATACTTTTTGCACGAAAGTTCCTGAGGCCTTACACAAAGACTGTATTTTATTTTTGCACCAGCTAAACCTATTGTTAACTATGGAAAAATTATCTCGCTTGATAACTAAGCGTTGATAATTGATTCACTGGTTTGTAACACACAAGTCTTTGTTACATCGGAATTATGCACTGGAGATCATTACTAACTGATATAATGGAAAAGATTTGTAACTCAGATAGACGACATTGATGTAGTTATTTCCTCTGATCTAGATGGTCTAGTAGAAAGACTTCTATGGACTTTATAGAAGACAACTGTGTTGATGACTTCAGTCTGAAGTCAAATTGTAAAACAAAACATTGTCAGGGCATGGGGTTATTCAGCTGGTGGGTGCATCTTGTTATCATATCTAGCGGTAACGAGCTGACAACCAAAATATGTTATTAATAATGAAATCTTGATATATGTGTAAAACTTGCGCACTGTATTATTATTATTATATTATTTCCTTTAGTTCCTAGAGGAACATAGGGCTTCAGCCATGCGTCTCCATTGCGTTCGGTTCTCTGCTAGAGTTTTCACCTGGCTCCAAGTCTGCCCACACGTTTTCATCTCCTCTTCACATGATCTCCTCCAGGTCACCCTTGGACGACCAACTGGTCGCTCCTTTCGGGTTCCACTCGAGCAATGGCTTGTCTGGTGATGTCAGTTGATGGTTTGTTTCCTCAGAGTATGGCCAATCCATCTCAATTTCTTCCTGCCTATTTGTCTCACGATCAGTTCCTGCTGTGTTGGTTCGCTCCCAGAGATCTTTGTTGCTGATCCTTTCCGGCCATCCGATCTTGAGTATTGAGCGAAGACATCTGTTAATGAATGTCTGTAGCTTGTTTGAGGTGCTCTTTGTGACACGCCAAGTCTCTGATCCGTATAGTAGTACTGACTGACTTCACATTGGAGTTGAAAATCCGGATCTTATTTTTGACGCTGAATGTTGTTGACCTCCACACAGACTTGAGAGTAATGAAAGCTTGTCTTGCTTTCCCGATCCTTGCTTTGATATCCTCGTCAGTTCCGCCTGTAGTTGAAACAATGCTTCCCAAGTAGGTAAAGGAGGTAGTTTCTTTCAGGTTCCTTCCATTTATGCTGATTGCTGTCTGTTGTTGTTGCTGTGGCTGTTGGTGTTGGCCAGGAATCTTCATCACCTCCGTTTTCTCTATGTTCACCTGGAGTCCTATCTTTGATGCTTCTTCTGCCAACTTGTTGCTTTTCACTTGCATATCTTCCAGTTTGTGGGAAATCAGACATATATCATCGGCGAAGTCCAGATCCTCCAAGTTCTTTGTGTGAGTCCATTTTATGCCTGTTTCCTCATTGCCCACTGTCTGTCGCATTATCCAATCTACTGCAATCAGGAAAATCATTGGCGATAGTAGGCAACCCTGTCTTACACCTGTCTTCACTTCGAAGGATTCCGTGAGCTTCCCGTTGTGGATTACTTGGCATGCAGCGTTGTCATACAACTGTTGGATGAAATGTATAAATGTCGGCGGCACCCCGTAGTAGCGATGTAGTTGCCAAAGCACCTCTCGATCGACGCTGTCGAAGGCCTTTTCAAAGTCGATGAAGTTGAGATAGAGAGGTGACTGCCATTCCAAGCTTTGTGGTAGTAAGTTATTCCATATTAGTTTGTTTATTACAAATACCACAAAATGAAACAGTATTATTTACTGGATGACACAGTTTTGAACACAATTTATTACTGTTCGTAATCATTTCATCAATTATAATCACACAGCTTCGAAACTTGAGTTTTATAGTTTTCTTTGTCCTCTCCTATTTGTCGTCATTGGGGTAGTAGAATTTTCCAGATATCCGGGTGGGTGGACAGGTGTTGAATCATTCCTATTACATGTATTCGCAGTTGATTCGATAAACAAAGCTTCTGTTATCAATCTTCCCCACTCGTCACCGTGTTACATTAGATTTTAAAACTGTCATCCTATTCCATCCTATTGTATGGTTGTGTGAAACTGCATGTAGTGCTATAGCTGAATTATTCTCTAAATTTCTTATCTTATTTGGGTCAACCAATCTAGATTTTGCTAGGTTTTTATGTTCGGCTACTCTCACTGACTAACCCTGTTCTACCACTTTGACCTATGTATTTGACTTGACAATCATTGCAGACAGGGTATTAGATAAACTAAATTGTTTCGTTTTAAAGGCTGCACAGGATTGATGCTTTAACCGACAAAGCTTGTTTCTAATTGAGTTTGTGGTTGGTTTGAATGCCAGCCACGTTTATTCCTGCCTTGTTAAGAATTCTCCATAAGGTTTCCGAGGAGGAGTATGGGAGGAAGTACTACTGACGATTTAGATTCCTCATTGTAGGTGTTGTCACCATCTTGTGCATGTTTGATATGTTACGATGGGAATTTTCCATGAATTTTCTCATGAATTGTTGCATACAATAGTATTACATATATTTCCTATTTTCTGTAGTGAGAATATTATTCCATCGAATATGACCGAAGAATTCTTTGAAAATTGGAATAGTAAAGCTAAACAATTATTTACAGAGTGGGGTAGGTCTTCTGTGATTGTATGCATTAATTAATAAACGTTAAATTGCAGTTTATGTCCATCATTCTTCTCCATATAAATTGAGGAGAATTGTTACATGGTATGATGATCTTATTTATAAATATAAATGTACCGTGTATGTATCGAGTTTTTAACACTTGACAAATCAGACCCGAGTGTATCCCCAAATTTAGACATTTACTGCTATCAGTCTTTCACTTTATGATTTGGTTTTGTAGTATTTTTGCTTTCTGTTAGCGACCAGTGGGGTTTACCAAGTCGAATGTAAAGACAGATACTTACTTGTCAATAAATTTGAATAAAGCTAAAACAACAGCGGTTTTTACAGAATAAAATGTTACCATCACTGTTTATTTCACTGGTTTCTCATCAGCTGCTTACAAGTCACAGTCATTATTAAGTATATCTAGAGAAATAATTTTAACAAACTTCCACAGTGTTTATTTAAAAAAAAAACCAATTAATCAGTATATGCATACAATAATAATATGTATATATAATAATAAACAATTTGTCCTGAACAGTAATGATCATACACAGTGGAAACTTTCGGCATTACATAATCAGATGAGAGAGGGGGTGAAAATATCCAGTTATTAGGGCAAAGAAAGACTGATAACCGCTTCTTCCTGAACGCCTAATTCGGGTTTTAAGTGCTTGATGGAAATTGATTCGGCAAACTTGAGGAGAGTTAAACTCTTTTGTCTAATGATTATTTTGAACAATAATGACCCGTCGGTTATGAAGTGGACACTGCAAGACCGTTCAAAATGGGCCTTTGAAAGATGTAATTGATGAACTTGAATTCTACTGTCAGTACATGGATGATACATTTTTGATTATGAAGAATGTGAATGAAGCAAAGAACATCCTTGCTGACAAGGATGTTAACGATGTTCATACTGCAATAAATTTTACCGTCGAGAAAGAAAGAAAACGACTCTAAAATTTCCTTATTGCTAAACTTCCTTATGACTAGAAAAGAAGACGGTACAATAAGAAAAAGAATAAGAAGAGGCGTATGTAGAAAGCCTACATCAACTGAGTGTTAGTAAAATCAGTTTCTTAGCTTCATACCTTCGAAATCCAAGGGCAAACTAATCAAGTGCTTGATCCGATATAGAGTAAGAGCAATCTACTCTGATGAATGTCTTAATGGAGGAAGGGCTTAAAATTATAAAACAGTTGCTGAGTGAGAACGGTTATCCAGAAAAATTCATCGATAAGAATATGAATCAAAAATCGAGGCGGTCCAAGGTAGCAACAGTTCTGTAAAAGGAAGGCCTTATTATTACAGATTTAGTTCCTCAGGGATGACGTCAGTGAGATATTAACACAACGCCTAAGAAACACGGTGGTAAAAGGAGCATTCGATGCTGTTGAAGCATTCTGTGTCTTCCAAACCACCCTTATTTTGCGTTTGGGAGTTAAAGATAAGCTGCCTAATGTCACCTCTTCTATGCGTATCTACCAATTTTACTGCTCCTGTGGAGTGAGCCAGTTAGTTGCATAATCCATAAAATTGGGCGTGTTTATCATCGGATTTCCAAACATCACCCAGAGTGGTTGAGTAAAGGACAAAAAAATCCATTCATAGCTCCATTCTATCTCATTTTGTGGATACAGAACACAAGATTGATGTTAAAGAGTCTTTCAAAGTCATCTTCTGTATACCAACTAATCTTAGCTTCACCTAATAGTTCGTCTATTACATATTGCTGAGAATGTTGGGATCTACATTAACAGACCTAACTTGTGTATCTATAAGAAGAAGTTTGTTCAGATACTGTTCATACATTGGCCATCAGGGTTCTAATTATCATCGAAAAGCATATTCTTTGTCCAAATTTTTGTTTTTTCTAGATATCTGAATGAAGATTTTCGCTATATAGTATTCTGTTGCTAATGCAGCATTAAACTGTGGGAATATGTGAGAATAATATTCCCTTGGAACACATTGTCTGTATCACACCACCACAAAGTGATTCACAACGAAAACCTGAATGAAGCCCTTGAGGGGAAGACAAGAGTAATACCAGACTGCTTACTGTCACCTATGATCTTCCCGGTTGCGGTACACCGGACTATTCGACATCATGAAGAGCCAGAAGGCTGGCATTCATTGGACAGCGAAGAAGACCCTGAATGATCTGGATTTCTCAAAACATCCATGCTTTTCATGTCGCATTAACTAGAAGAAATATAAGGGAAAAGCATCTAAACGGCTGAAAGGGACGTGAAACACTGGCGGACTTCAGGTGAACATAGAGAAGACACAGCGGGGGTGAAGATATCCAGCCTACGTTGGCAAGCACCAATTGCCATCAACAAGCAAAATCTAAATGAAAGCCTTTGTTTCACTTACCCTGGCGTCATGATTTCAACTAGAGGCAGCACGGATGAGTATTTTAAAGCGAGGAAAAGAAAAGTACGTTCGGCGTTCATTTCTCTCAAATCAGTGCGGAGATTCACAGCTTTCAGCACAAGGAACAAGAGATAAATTTCTAGCATTAATGCTAAGTCATTATCTCAGCATGACTTAGAGATTTTGATGCGTTGGGCAAAAGCTTCATGTAACTGCCTTTTCTCGATTCTGTAAACCTGATGACTAGTCATGAAAAATTAGCTACAAGGAACTCTAGCGATGAATCAACCAGCCAATGTCTTTGAGTATACCATCAAATGACATCACATGCCAGGCGGTCAGGTGGAACCCGGATGAGAAACGACGAGTTGGGCATCCGTGGGTGGAATGGAGACAATTTAAAGAGGAAACGAAAGATCATGGGCAGTCGAGAATGCAGCTGAAAATACCGCAGAAAATAGTGTGAAGCATAGGTATACTACTCAAGGGATGAATAATAATAATAATTCATGTATAAATACAACCACTTGTGTTTACATTGATGTTTTCTAACAATTTCTTTTTCATGTTTTCATAGATGAAGCGAATCAACAGTGTTTAAATACGGTGTATGCAGCGTATGAAAATAATTCACAGAAATGTATTGATGAAATTCAGCGAATGAAGGTAATCTGAAGTAGCAATGATATATATATATATATACTTCGATTGGACATTCGTAACAAGTGCGATCTGTTTAGTCCTCTGTTTAGTACAGACCCAATTCTGTTAGTCCCATTTGCTACGTGGCCACCATTCTAGGTAGCTTGCCATCACGGTGCACTTTGAATTGTTGATATTAGATAGTTGGAGGCAATCGACCACAAGAAGCAAAGCCTGACCTAGGTTTCGTGCTAATTGGCACTCAACAGTCAGTAAACAAGGCGTATATGCCATCTTGAAGGAACGTATGTCTCTTCTGAGATTCAAACTTGACTGATAGAGTTCAGTCTGCAGCAAACAAAGGACCAGATACACTACACTACTCACTGACTAGTGTCCAATCAAAATACCCACTACAGTCCTACAGGAGGTCAATCACCAGCCCGAATAGCTCAGTGGTAACGTCTCTGACTGCAGACGGCACTGGATGACGCGGGTTTGAATCTCAGGAGGGACATGAGTTCCTTCAAGATTTCAGGTACGCCTTGCTGACTGATGAATGCCAACTACCATGAAACCTGGGTCTAACGAGGCTTCCTGTGGCCGATTGTCTCCAACGATCTAATACCAGTCATATAATGTTCTAAAAAATCATATAGATGCCTATCAAGGTCAGTTGGTAACCAAACATATGAAATATATTCATAACTTTAAGAAATTCATAATATGCCTTAAGTTCTGAAGTAATAGAGAAGATTAGTAGCTCAGGTGTGCGTTGGTGGCATAGCGGTTAGGACGCTCGCCGACCATGCACTTGGTCCGTGGTTCGATCCCCGGCCGACACACTCCTTTACCTCACTAAACCAGAAATAATGCTGGTGAAGATGAAAGGTTGGGCATGAGGCTAGCAACTCCATCCTGTAAAATAAACACTGCTACCAAAACTTCAAGGCACTAGCTTAGAGCCCTATGTTCCACTGGGGAACGTGAAAGATAAGAAATAGTAGCTCAGGTAGATGACATTGAATTAGTTGTGTTATTTAAGCTGCTAACTGATTTAATTAAGAAGCTTTCATCGTCCTTCTAGACAGCATCGCTTCAGCGCAGATTGTAGTATGATTTGAACTCATTTAAATTCTCTGTGAACTATGCAGTTGTATATCCTTTCAACCATTGTCTCTATTAGTCATTTCCATTGATTTGGAGTTCAGACTTTCTTGTCATGTGATGATTTACTTTTTATTAGTTGATAAATTTTGTCTATAATAATGTGCTTGTTAATCTCTGGCTAATTCACTTGAGTACCAGGCTTCTAGGAATTCCTCTATTTAAAGTCTTTACATTATCCCAATCATAAAATTGGTGTCCATAATTATCCACATGCATTGATGTAAAATGGCTAATTTGTGTTCTTGGAATCGGATTCTAAAGGGGGCGCCCACATTGTTGACCGATGTAATGTCTGTTACAGTTCATACATACAATTTATTTTGTGAGCCTTATTGATTTTATCTTCTTTTTCTATTGGATCTTATGGTTTGCACAATGTCAAATTATGTGTTTGTGCTGGCTGGCTGGTTTGTATGCTATATCTGTTTCAAACGGTTTTAATATTCTAGCTGTTATTTCAGAGATATTCATTATACATGGCAGAATGAATTTCCGTGTAGTCTCTGATGATGGCTTCTTGTTGGTGTTGTGACTCAAGTTTAATCACCTTTTAATGAAATTGTGTGGGTATCCATTCTTTTAGGAAGACGGTCAGTAGGTTTTTTTCTTCCATTCTCTTCAACACCGGAGTAGTGCTACAGTGTGTATTTGAACTCTTTTAAACAATGTCTACACACAGTTTCTTTTGTGAATAGGCAGGTTATTAATATTACTATTATGATAAATAGTAAATCACATTATAAGAAAGGTCGAATTCCAAGTCAGTCAATAAAAATGGTCGGTAGAGGTGTAAATTAACAACCAGTCATGACTGTTGTTCTCAGGAGATACAATCATATCATTGTTCATGGAGAATTCAAATAAGTTCATTTCATACTGAAACATGCGCTGAAGCGATGTTGTCTCTAGAAGCGGGATGACGAAAGCTACGTAATTAAATCAACCGCCGAGCTCAGAAAACACAACTAATTCAATGTCTAAGAGATATTTTAAAGTTATGAAGTTGTTATGAACAAACAACAAAACAAAATTGAATAAAGATAGATTTCATATTGAATTATTGTACCAGTCAAACAAGCACAAAGACCACGGTGGTAAAAGCGATTGAGCAAGTCACTTCTGTTGACACAGTTCAGTGTCTGCCTTGTTTATAGGAAAAGCTTTCGGTATGCGCTGGAGTTATTGCAGAAAAACTTATGAACCTACGATTTGACCTTATCTGCTGTTTTTTTTTTGAAAGATATCTTTATTTTTTCAGAATGATGATTAGGAAGTAGTCTATTGGTTTATCTACTTCATCTTCGCGACAAGCACATTTTAAAGGTTTTATTGTGCAAATATCTTATTATTATTCCCTTGGGTTCCAAATGGAACAGACAGCTGCAACAACACATCTCCGCTTCGTTCAATTCTCTGCTGTCCTCTCCATTTGGCTGTCTCCATGACTGCCCACAACCTTTTATCTCTTCATCACAATATCTCCTCCACGTTACCCTCACACTGACGACCCAGTCGTCACTTCCCATTCAACTTCCACTCCAGTAATGGCCTACACTGAGCACGATGTCATTCGAAGGTCTTCTCCATTTCCTCCTACAGACTGGTTGAGCAATAGGTTTACTCCTGTTAGTTTGCTTCCAGACAGAGCTCCTCGTTGCTAATTATTTCTGGCCGACCTACTGGCAAATTAATCTTCAGTATGGAGCCAATGAAGTGGGCAGCTGTTAATCAAAGTCTGCAACAGGCTGTTGGAAATACTTTTCGCTCCACGCCAGCCAATTTTTAAGACCCGTATAGAAGCTGTGACTTACTGACTTCACATTTGTGTTGAACAGAATCCGAATCTTGTTCTCTATGCTGACTGAGTGAGTGAAGCAGAAGATTTCTAAACTGGTTTCAGATTGATGAATGTGTATCTTGCATTTTCGATTCTGACTGGCTGGCTGGCTTTGACATCTTCATCCGTTCTGACTACCTGTAGTTGAAACGATACTTCCTGCCTAGATAAGTGGAAGAAGTGACCTCTTTTAAATTTCTTCCGTTGATGATGTTTAGTGCTGCTAGTTGTTGTTATTGCGGTTCGTTAGTTATCTTCATCACCTTTGTCTTCTATGTGTTCATCACCTGGAGTGCTGTTTTTTCTACCAGCCTCTTCAGCTAGTTTGTTGGTCTTCGGCTGCAAGTCTTAGAGTTTGCGTGACAGGCTAATTACCTAGCTCCACAGAAGAAAGTGAATTAACACATGATACTAGAACTCAAGTCTATAAGAGATGAATATAATGTATTCGATCCTTAAAAAGCATTCCACTACTAGGTGTCTAGGTGCTCATCTTTTCTATGTATATTTTATATCAGATATTTAATACATATTTGAATTCCGCGATTATTGATTTATTTGTTCAGTGCTTCAATAAGTGACTGAATATATAGATCGTCAGTCAATTTACCAATTATTTCTCTTCCTTTGCCTGTGTTTTTCTTTATTTTTCTCTTATCAAAAGGACAAATTATTCAATCGTCAGTTGATAACATCTCCAAGTGAAATCGAAAATTTAATTAAAGTTAATTGTATCCCATTTTTGGGTCGACTTCAAAGTCAATTTGAAAGTAATTTAAATTACCTCGATGTAAGTGTAATACTATATAAACGGTACAGGTAAATTGTTTGAAAAGTTTTATGTTATCATTGTGATTGTTTTAAAATAATAATGGAGAAGATTTATGGTTCAGGTGGATGATATTGAATTAGTTGTGTTCTGTGAGCTACTAGTTGATTTAGTTGTAAAATCTTTCCTCGTCCTTCTAAAAAACATCTTCAGCCCAGACGTTGTTATAAAAAAATCCGGAGCTGAAGATGTTGTCTAGAGGCGAGACGACAAAAGCTTCGTAATTCAATGAACAAGCAGCACAGAGAACACGACTAATTCAATAGTATGGTTGTTTGACTGTCATTCAGTGATGGCTTAAATGGTTTTTGATTTGTTTATTTGATATATGCTAATCTCATGATTAAATGTGTGTAATCAGTAACATCATAGTTGCTTTTATGATTCCTAATTTATTGTCTTGATAGCTTGTCACGAAAACTTACTAGCTGTGATATAACCATGGTTACTCATGAATATCGACTATCTACCAGTAATTTTCAATACTGACCAGATTTTAAGCCCTTACTTGGATCTGGAACGCTAGCATACTTAGCGTACTAGACGGTTGGAGGCATTAATCGGCAGGAGGCCTTGACTCGACCTAAGGTTTTGTGCTAGTTATGAACGTTATGAACAGTTCTGGTTGTCTTAAGCGAATTACAATAACCTCTACTGTTTGGAGTATTTGGTACCTGGATGCTTTTAGCAATTTATTTGGTACACGGTAGATGATAGAGAAGGATTCTTCAATTCTGGCTTTGTGGCTGGCCGGTTTGAACCAGGTGATCTAATATCGAACTGCTGATGGTTTTCACTACACCCTTATTTAACCACAATGGTAGGTGTTTCCGAGTATGGAAAACCAAGTTCCTAGAGCAATGGTCAATATAACTCGCTCAACAAGAGCAGCTGAATTGATAGATGCAATTACAGGTGGCTAGTGTGTGTACTTTATCCTTAAACTGAGGCATCCCAACCGGTCGTGTAGAAAATATGACTTGTAGTTTACCAGCATTAAAAGTTCTTGTTAGTAATTATTTCACTTAGAACATATATATATAACTGTAGAACCTGATGAGGAGGAAGTTATCAAAGAGGATTATCTTTGCTCCAAATCTGATTATACATTGGTGTCAGTTACAGAACCAGTAGAAAACCATCAGGGGGTACAGGACAGTCGTTTTGTCAGCCTAGTTTTTGACTCTTCAGAAAAACACTCTTGACATCACCTGATATCGAATACAGGACCCTCAGGTTAGGAGGCCAAGGCTGAAGAGCCCCAAACTAGGACGAAACAGCTGGCTGTTCAGTACTCCCTGGTTTTAATGCCTATCTAAGCGACATCAATCCACGATCCAATTTGAAACCAATCAAATCCCTACAAACCAGCTCTTGAAAATATTCTGTGTTGAATACAAATCAGTTTTTTTTTTAAAATTTTTAATGGACATCTTTAATCAGTTAATAATATTAAGATTACTTTTCATTTTGGTTGCCCTTCAGCAATGTTTTATGTGGAGTGCATATCTCTGGCCTAATGGATTAATTCAACCCCTACTGAAATATGGTCAAATGTTTGATAAATTATGGAATCTATACTCACAAGAACCAATAAATAATGCCAGAAAAGATTTTAATAATAATTTAAATTCAATAAAACAAACAATATTTGAAGAGATTAGAAAAAAAGACGAATTGATCAATGTGTGTATTGATGCTTTACGTCAAAGTTCAAGTGAACAAGTGGTCAGTGACAGATTGGATGAAGCATTGAACTTATTCAATGATGTTAAACTTCTGTAAGTATTCCTACTTTGTAATTTCACATTTTGTCATGTCTGCCTGGTATTCACAGAACAATGAGATTTCTTATTTTTACTGTAATTCACTGTATTTATTTAACCACAGTTATATAACAGTGCCACGTGTCAGATGGTCAACAATGGAGAACTCAGCGAAGGCTGCATTTGAAGCGAATACAGGAGTAAGACAAGGTGGCTGCCCACTAGTATCAGCAATGATATTCCTGATTGTTGTGGTGGAGTAGATCGTCCGTCAAACTATGAACAGGGAGCGAGAAGCCAGGAATAAGTTAAACTGCTAAGCAGATTCTACAAGTACTGGATTTCGCGCGTGGATGGCTTATGTTTAATGCCGCTCAAACTCGAAGACTTAGAGGCAGGTGAAATCCAACAATTTGGCAGAAGAGGCTATCAGCGAAGGCAGGACTCCAGATGAACATAGAGAAGACATAGGTGACGAAGGCAGAAAACCAGCACAAATCACTATCAGAGGGAGAGATTTGACAGGTTATTTCCTGACTTCACTTATCTAGGAGGCATCGTTTCAACCACAGTCAGTCGGACAGCACGGATGAAGATGTTAAAGCCAGCTAGGCAGCCAGAATCGGAAAGGGAAGATGCACCTTCATCAACCTGAAACCATTTTCGAAATCTGCACTAACTCAGCATAACGAACAAGATTCCAATTTTCAACGCAAATGTGAAATCAGTTAGTCACTTCCTCTAAACCTGTCAGAAACTTGGCCAGTATTTCACGAAAAGGATATCGAACAGATTATAGACTTTTATCAATAGTTGCCAACTTTGCTGACTGGCTCCATACTGAAGATCAAATGGAGAGTCGGCTGGCCAGAAAGAATTATCAAGAAGAAACTCTGGCTGGTTGGGAACAAACAGACAAGCAAAAGCCGATCGCTCAACAAATACGTAGGAGAAAATGTAGATGGATTGGGCATATGCCATTGAGGAGGACGTCGAATGACGCTACTGAGAGTTCAGGCAAATGCTGCCTACCACAGTGTGGAGTGAACAGGTGGTCTTGCAGACTGGAATTTGTTAGTGGAACGGTCTGTAGCATAGTACGGAAACCCGACGGACAGGCAGCAAGTAACGCAGCAGTTCCGTTACCAAGTCTCTTATCTTCCCTAATTATCTCATCAGCGTTCTCAGGATGTTAAAGTGCCAAAGACTGAGAACTTTTATTGAAATGGTTCAAAATCTCCCACTTCTTGTCATTTTTAGTGTTTTGAGCATTTTCACTGAACAATGTCGCATTCATCTTTCTACCTAACTGATATCAGTTTAAACTATTATGATTCTCATTCTATTCTCAAAATGCAGCAACTCGGAGGAGGATAATGGGTGATGAGTCCCAAACAAGGGTGAAACATATTTCCGGTGGTCCTGTGCAACTGATGATGATGATTCACTTAGGTGCATTCCAGTCGGGAGTAAACACTGTTATATGCCTAGTGGATTTTGTTGATGCAGGGTGAACTTTGAATTGGTGTTAGATGGTCTGAACGGATAGGCGGTAAGCTCCAGACTTAGGTTTCAGGCTTGCTGGCACTCATCAACAAGGCGCATATACAGTCTTTCCCCTCTGGTATTCGACCCCTTTGTCACAATGAATATAAATATCTCTTCAAATGATCTTTCCCTCCTAAAATAGAACATTTTAGTCAGGTAATTTTTATTTTAACCTGGTAACGGGTAGCACTGTGTGACGTCGGTTTGAATCCCATAGGAACATAAGTTCTTTAAAGGCTGCAAATACACTTTGCTGACGACTTCCAATAATCCCAAAAATCTGGGCCCCAGAGATTCCTACCGATTGCCTTCAACCATCTAACATCAAAACGAAATTCTATGTTTATAAAATGTTAAATGATCGATAATTGATTTCCTAACAAGGTATTTACGGTTGTATGAAAACGGGATACCAGTGGCTTCTGTTTCTCAAATTTGATACGAACTTCAGAAAAACTGGCACAGCAAAAGAAACCGAATTTTAAAAGTGACAAAATCTCCTAATTAAGAGTTGGTTTGCAGGGATCTGACTGGTTACAAGTTTCATGACGAGCTGACATCAGTTCGAGAAGCTCTGAAAAACCACCAGGGAGTACTGGACAAATAATACATCCTAGTTTGGGGGCTCCTCAGTAGTACGCACCCATTGTGGTCCTAACCCAAGACTTTCTGGTTGCAAGGCACTCTCGTAGGCCATTCAACCACTTTTGACCCGACGCAATCGCTCATGAATTCCAGCTTCCATCAATTCGTGATGTATGCAGCGTTACCATCAGCCAATGTTGAAGGCGACTAACTGATTTCTTATATTGTATCGACAGAAGACAAGGGCCAGGCAACGGATCGTTTATTGAGAAAATCAACAGATATTTATGAATTTATATATATATATATTATTGTCAGCTGAGAAGCAACGCCTTCTGATTGGTTGTTTTCTTGCTGAAGGTTATTCTGTACTACTTGTGACCGTTTCTCAGAAAGTTAAGCCATATATCTGCGAATCGTATTTGCACACGTTAAGTCTGCTGTGATTGGTTGGTGAGTTCCTCAAGGTTAAGCTTTGTCATTGTTTTTCTCATGACCCCTATTCGGGACGTAACATTGACGTAAAATTTTGTCTACAATTTCGGCTTGCAGCCAGCTGTCACCAGAATATGATTTGGTGGACCTCGTTGGTTACGACTTCTAACTAGAACTCCAGGTAACTGTTTGTCAACTCGTGACCGACGCTGTAATCAATCAAATCCCTGCAAACCAGAACTTGTAAATTAATCTAATAGTCCATAGAGACCGGCTCTATGCTGGAAGTTACCTGGGATTCTGGTGAGAAGCCGTAACCAAAGGGGTCCACCGACTCTGGTACGAGAACAGTCACTCACTTATAACCCTGATTGGCGGTTGCGTCATATATATAAATATATCAAGAATTTTTTTGAATTTTAACATACTTCTTAGTCAAAATATAAAGTACACCAAACCGAATTTGCGTGAAAAAATATTCACTATTTATCCACTTTGTGTGACAATACAGTACTTTTCTGTATGCTTTTTCAAAAATTATTTATTTATTTGACTTCCTTGATGTCCTACTGACAAAAAAAAACCCAGATGGTAGCATGGAAAAAAATACTTGGACAGGACAATATACATATTCTCACAGCTTCGTTCCTATCCAGTACAAAAGAAACTTAGTAAAGACCCTCAGCCACAAAGTTAGAGCTGTTTGCGCGGAAGAAGTAATTGAAGATGAATTGAGTGTCGTATATGACACCTTGATTGAAAATACACATCCCAACAAATTTATCAAGAAACACATGACAAAGAAAGCGGAAAAGGACTACTCAATATCTGAAAACAAGAAGCCACTTTATATACGACTACAATTCAGGGGCAATATACCAAGTGAGATAATTACGAAGAAATTAAGAAAATCAGTTCAAAGAACTTTCAATGCTGGCGAACTACACGTATTATTCCCTCTCAACACGACCAATGGTGCTGCCTTGACTGAAAGATGAAGTACCTAGACTAGCTAGCCACTTCAAATTGTATCTACCAATTCAACTGCGCTCGGTGTGGAGCGAGTTATATCGGCCGTTGCTCTAAGAACTTGATTTTTGTGCTCTCTCGGGAACATCTCCCAGTATAGCTAAGTAAAGGTGTAGTGAAAACCATTACCAGTTCGATATTGAACCACCTGGTGCAAACCGGCCACAAAGCAAGCCAGCGTTGAAGAATCCTTCTCTATTATCTACCGGGTGCCTTATAAAATGCCGAAATCATTGAAGCACCGCATGCTCTAAACAGCAGAGGCTATTGCAATTCGCCTCAAACAACCAGTGCTCTGTGTTCAAAAGAGGCAAGTCCAGCTAGCCACTACTACTGCCCTGGCCGGTCTTCAGTAGAAACTATAAACTCATGAATTTGTAAAATTATCTTTCCTAATTTTTCTGATATTCAGCTTATTTTATGTTGATGCTACTGAACTGTAATCTATTAATATTTTTGATTCGATGTTATTTAAACAACATTAATGTTGTTCATAACACTAATTCAATCATTCATTCACTATAATGTTGTGTATATAACTGTAGAGCCTGATGAAGAGTAGGTTATCGAAAAGAGTACTCTTTGTTCGGTATCCATTTTTTTAAAAATTTTAACGGGCATTTTTAATCAATTATTTATTGATTTCAGCTATCAATCCCTCAATGAGAAACAAATACGGATTATTGAAGCGTATATAAAGCAAGTGACAAGTATTGTCGATCTATGCGAAATGGCTGTCTATCGATATTTCGGTGTTATGCGTTGTACTAAACAACAAACATTAAGCTTAGAAGTGAGTTAACTTCTTTGAAGAATAGATTCACTTCTTTAAATCTGTATTTAGGAGTTTGAAATAATGTCGACGCTAAAGATGCTACCTAGGGAGGATAACGAAATGTTTGCAGTCAAATCATTCAACTCATATGTCACAATAACTTAAAATAATAAAAACTTAATAATTTCACTACAATCGAAGTTATTCAGTCCACCAGAATATGTGATCTGATTGATACCTTTAATGGCAGTCAAGAAAGTAAGTATAAACGTGTAGCGCTATATACTACTGATCGACTGACATGAGTAGTTGGGTTCCACTCACATGAAATCGCGAATTCGTTCGGATGTATTACCAGTTCACGAAAGTGTCTCTCTGAGCTGAGTTAAACAGGGTACATGACTCCATTCAGTGATTAGACGGCCTCCACCTAGTTGGCTAGCGAACAATACACAAGTGATGATACCCAGTTACTCATACAGTTAACCAGTAGTTCATTGCATCATTTAAAATTTAATAACAGTGACACCTTAGAATTCAGAAGTCAGTGAATTCCAACTTCTTGCATGATTGGTCAGGGAACTCTACTCGTAACCGGTAGGTCCTGGGTCCAATCTCTGGTGTTGATGAGCACTCACTCATCTGAGAATGGAGTTTGGCCAATGTGGTAGAATATAATTCCATCAGAGAGTAAATTTATTTGATAAAATCACACAGTGTTACACAGTATTATTTATTTATTGATGATGTTTCAAATGCAGTTTACTACTGCTCGTAATCATTATCAATTTGCTCATTCATATAACTTTCGAACTTCGTTTAAGTAACTCCGTTATTTCTTATCCTTTAATTTTTTGCTGGAACTATTTTCCATAACTCTGGCATTAGTGCTGAGTCATTCCTGTTAGACGTGTGTGGTGTTTAGATACGATAAACAAAGATTCAAGAGTCAACTTCACCCTGCAACTCTGTCCTAACCTATTGTACACACACTGCAATAGACTCATTTGTTCTCCACTTAGTTAAATTCTTATGTTCCGATAACATTATTATTATTCTCTTGGGTTACGAGTGGAATTTAGGGTTTCAACAACACATCTCCACTTTGTTCTAGCTTTTGCTACCCTCCTCAGCTTGGTCCATTGACCATAATCTGTCATCTCCTCCTACAACTCACACGATCTCCTCCATGTCACTCTCGCACTGACAACTCACTCGTTACTTTCTGTTCATCTTCCACTCAAGCGATGGCCTGCATTGAGCGCGATATCATTCCATGGCCTGTTCAGCAAATGCCCAATCCATCTCAATTTTCTCCTACATGTTTATTGAGCAATCGGTTCTTGTCTGTTGGTTTGTTGCCAGCCAGAGTTTCTTGTTACTAATACTTTCTGACCATTTGATCTTCATTAGGGATCCAGTCAAGGCAGCTGTTTATGAAATATGTAACTTGCTAGAAATCCTCTCCGTGACGGGCTCACAATGTACGTTTCTGACCCGTATAGAGGAACTCATTGACTTCATATTTGTGTTGAGCAGAATCCGAATCTTGTTCTTTATGCTTGCTGGTTGAGTGAGTGAAACAGAAGATTTCGAAACTGGTTTCATTTTGATGAAAGCGTATCTTGCTTTTCTGATTCTGGCTAGCCTCCTCTGACATCTTCATCCGTGCCGTGTACCTGTGGTTGAAACGATGCTTCCTAGATAAGCGAAGGAGGTGATCTCTTTCAAATTTCTCCAGTTGTTGGTGATTAGTGCTGGTTGTTGTTGTTGTTGGTTGGTTGGTTGGTTGGTCAAAGCAAAACATGGCAACAGTATGCTGATGGTCTCAGCCATATAATGAGCTGTAGACTGTGCTTCTAGCTGGTTGAAAGAGGCCTTGGAATGTGGTGGTAAGAACTAATTTTTGAAAACTATTGGCGATATGGCGTAGATGCGTTCACTCTTTATATTATCTGCCATTTACATTCGACTGACATGTTTTTCCTAGTTACTATTATGTCTTTCTCTCTCCTTATAGTTTTGTTAGGATCGACTAACTATTTTTGTGTTAGCCGTAAAGTTATGGTTGACGCATGCAACGACATAATAACCTGATTGGACAATTTTTCATTGATTTTAAAGGATCTTCAAGGTCACACAACCAACCAGATATTGATTACCTCCTCATAGTTTAAATTTCCGTTGATTCGAAAAACGGGATATGTACACTGTATTGTGAAGGATACAGGTTGTTGTTGTTGTTGTCGAGGTTTTGCAGTTAAGCCTGACTTCTATGTGTCAACTCAGTGTGGGGGAATATTTTCAGGCGACACTAGTTGTCTATAATGTTGTATCCGAAGGTGTATTGTAATCAAAATAGAAAACAACCAACAAGTTGTTTTGAATCTCTCTTTTCTCTACCACTGTGTGTTACATGTGGAGTGTAGCAACTTCGAATATGCCAGTTTACACCGTCTCTGGCTTAGTAGACATGATATCCGGCTGGCTGGCTATCGACCAAAGGGCGTGTATACTGTCCAGGAGTCCGCTCCGTCCTGCTTAATGGCTGTGAGACCTGGCCATTGAGTGTGGAAGACATTAGAAGACAGGCTAGCTAGCTAGTTTTTACCCGTTTAAACGATCTGACTGATTGACTTCACATTTGTGTTGAACAGAATCCGAATCTAGTTCCTTATGCTGACAGAGTGTGTGAAGCAGAAGATTTCGAAACTGGTTTCATTTTGATGAAGGCGTATCTCGCATTTCCGATTCTGGTCTGCTTTGACATCTTCATCCGTGCCATCCATCAGCTGTGGTTGAAACCGTGCTTCCTAGCGAGATAAGTCGAGGAATTAACCTTTGTCAACTCTCTGACGTTGATGTTGACTGGTGCTGATTATTGTTGCTGTTGGTCTGCTGGTTGCTTATCTTCATCACCCCCGTCTTCTTGATGTTCACATGGAGTCCTGCCTTCGCTGCTAGCCTCTTCTGACAGTTTGTTGGTTTTTGCCTGCTTCTGAGTTTTCGAGTTTTGGTAGCATTAAACATAAGCTATCCACGCGCGAAATTCAGAACTTGTAGAGTCTTCTTAGCAATTCAACGTTTTCATGTCTACTCGCTCCCCACAGTGTGACGCTTAATCCATTTCACCACAGTCATAAGAATATCATCGGTGACAAAAGGCAACAGGCTTTTTTCACTCTTGTATACACTTCGGACAGCTCACTGAGTTTGCTCCGTTAACATAACTAACCACAATCTACCGGTTCAACTTATATAAATGACCTCGTAGTTATTACAACGTATTTCGTAGATTTCATTATGGTGTCAATAGTCTTTTAGGCTACAGAACGTTTCCCTCAGTGAGTTTGAATGTTTAAAGGCTACACTCATTTCTGCTCAATTAAAATCTTACGTGGAGTATCAGATGTCCCTTCCTTAGATGATAAAACTTCAGATACCCCCATTCCTATCTTATTTACGTCATGCTCAATGATTCCTTTACCATTTCCCCTTTCTTTGTGAGATTTTATGAGCTTTCTAATGAATTTTGTGGGTGGATTTCTTGTATCTATTTCATTTCAATATTCAGGTTTTCCAATGTACTATTCGGAGTAAGTGTTCGGTTTCGTAGACACACTCAACTAAGTAAGGCTTTACGAATAACGCATAAGGTGAATTCATTTGTAAATATCTATTAGAAGGCGTTGGTATAAGTATAAAACTTTGGCACTTTGGTAAAGTATGACTTCATTATAAATAGGACTTGATTTTACTAATGTCACACAGTGGTGTTATACAGTAGGTAATATTTACTGATGATAACCGACAAACTGGTCGAAGAAGCAGCAAAGACAGGACTCCAGGTGAACACAGACAAGATGGAGGTTATGAAAATAACCAACCAATAACAACAACAGCAGCAACATCCAGCGCCAATCACTGTCAACGGGAGGGATTTGAAAGAGGTTACTTCTCTCACTTATCTAGGGAGCATTGTCTCAACTACAGGCACACGGAACGGACGAGGATGTCAAATCGAGAATCGGGAAGGCGAGAAACACATTCATCAACCTGAAACCAATCTGGAAATCTTCGTCACTCAGCCTGCATCAACAACAAAATTCGGATTTTCAATACAAACGTCAAGTCAGTCAGTTCTTCTATACGGATCAGAAACTTGGTGGGTCACAAAGTATATTTCCAACAGCCTGTTGCAGACCTTTATCAACAACTATCTTCGCTGTCTCTATACTGAAGATCAGATGGCCGACGAGAAAGAATCACCAACAAGAAACTATGGGAACAAACAAAACAAGAACCAATCGCCCAACAAATATGCAGGAGAAAGTGGAGATGGATTGGACACTGGCTGAGGAGGTCACTGGGTGACATCGCGCGTCAGGCCATCGCTCCAGTGGAACCCGAAAGGGAAGCGGCGAGTGGGACATCCAAAAGTGACATGGAAGAGATCGTGTGAAGAGGAGCTGAAACAGTATGGACTAACATGGATGCAGGTGACAAGTACGGTAGAAGACAGAAGGAAGTGTAGACGTGCAGTTGAACCCCTATGTTCCACTAGGAACCTAAGGGAACAATAATAATTATAACCACGTTTTGAGCGCAATTTATTGCTGCTCATAATCATATCGAAGCATTACTCACGACTTTCTTGCTTCATTTACATACATGAGTAAAAATTGATGATTAGACATTTGAACAAAATCAATATAAGGTGAAGTACATTCAGAAATAATATTAGTGTCATCAGTCAAATACGGTCAGATGGGAAATAAGATCTTTTTATTGTAAAATAAATAAATAACTTGTTAGAATGTCAGAATGTTATAATGTGAATTGAATTGAATACATTTTAACATTATTTATTATCCCCCTCTGATTTGACTGGTGGTAGTAATATCTTCCACACATATCTCTGGTATTTGCGTTGAGTCACTTCTACTGTATTTGTTGGGTAAAGATTATTCGATGAACCAGGATTCAGTAATCAATCTCTCTCGCTCTCCACCTACTTATATTACTTTTCAGAATTTTGACTCACCAACCATCCTATTGTGTGGTAATGTGTTAGTGCTTGCAGTCCAATTGCTGAGTTTGTTTTTCTAAATTACTTATCATCTCAGAGTCAATTATTCTTACCTTAGCAAAATTCTCATGTTCTGATAATCTCACTACTCTCGATCTACTAGTTTCATGTATATAGTTGACCTAACAGTCATTGCAACGTGTTTTCTGAATTATATTATTTTGTTTAAATGGGTCAACCCATTGGGTCCTTTAGCCTTCAGAGCTTGTCCTACCTAAGTGAGTTTGTAGGAGGTTTTGAATGCCACCCTAATTCCTGCTTTATTGAGAATCCTACGTAGGGTGTCAGATGGCCCCTCCTTAAATGGCAAAACTACTCTAGAAGCCTTATATTCTTTCTTATTTATGTTGTCGCTATTAGTTTCACTATTATTCTTTATTTCACCTTTGACGATTTTTGATCTTCCTAAGCCTGCCTGCACAGATAGACAACGGATTGCATGAATTAAAGTCTAAATATCTATTAGCAGAATGCGTTGGCTCTTTTTTTATAAACCCTAGTGTGCAGTTTACCTTCTTCTACTCGTTTTATTTTACAATCTGACTTCATAGCTAATTCTCCTTTTTCATTTTCCGATTCAAATGTGTATTTTATTCCCTCCACTAGTGAGTTTGTATGTGTCAAGAAGCTAGAGGTATGTTGTGTTTTTAACATTGTGAAGGCGTCATCCACATATCTCTCCACCACATCTTCGGAATAGGATTAAGTGTATAAAGAGCAATATTTTCCCAGCTGTCCATAGATACATCTCCTACGATAGGGAATATTGGTGATCCATCCCATTACTAAACTTTCTGTTTGTCTATATATTTTTTCCATGGAATTTAAAGACAGCAGACGTGAGGCATAACTGAATTCCTAAAATAACTTTTTTAGTGGGCAGCTGTGTCCTATGACTAAGTTTGAGATCAGAAGTTAGTTCTCTTTTAACAGCTTCTAAGGCTGACATATTGATTGATATATTCGTGTAAAGACTAGTTATATCAAAACTCACCCTTTTTTCATTATTATTTTCTTACATGTTACGTAATAAAAAGCGATTACAATTTATTTATATTTATGTTTTCTGCACTTTATAGAAAAGGCTGAAGCAAAAATCACCAGTGAACAGCCAACTGACAGTTGGATATGACCAGTTCTTGTGTATATCACAGCCTACTTCACCTGAACACACACTGTCCGATGATAATGACAAGACAACTACAGATGCTCGAGATACACCTAAGGCTAACCATTTATTTTATTCCATAAAACATCATGATATTGCAGTAGAAGATCTCAGTAAATCTTTACAGTTAGACACAACAAAATCAGTAGATAGTCAAGTTGGCGAATTCTTTAAATATTTATCACAAAATCCCCAATGGAGTGGAATTATTACCGGCAATGAAGTGATTAGTCATGCTTTGAATGAAGTACCGATTAAAATTCAGTCGAAACAGGAGAATGCTGAAAGCCGACATAGACATGACGGCAACGATGATGTTCAATCGATTATTCTCAACGGGTGTGAAACAATTCTTGTTAACAATTATGTAACTGAGTATATTCGCCCGGTCAAAGTGAAAGTATGCTTAGATATAATCAAAGATGTCAAGTCAGCTGTTCGTGTGGTAAGAAAAATATTGTGTAAAAGATGATTATTACTTTCAAAAGAATGGATACCGAACAAAGAGTACTCTTTTAGATAACCTGCTCTTCATCATCAGGCTCTGCAGTTATATATACATTATAGTGAATGAATGAATTGGTGTTATGAACAACATTAATATTGTTTAAATTACATCGAATCAATAATATTGATAGATTACAGTTCAGTAGCATCAACATAAAATAAGCTGAATGTCAGAAAAATTAGGAAAGATAATATTACAAATACATGAATTTATAGTCTCCACTGAAGGCTGGTCAGGGCAGTAGTAGGGGCTGGCTGGACTTGCTTCTTCTGAACACAGAGCACTGGCTGTTTCACTCTAATTGCATCAGCCTCCGCTGTTTGGGACATGCTTTGCTTCTATGTTTTTGAAAATTTATCAGGCACCCGGTAGATGATAGAGAAGGATTCTTCCACGCTGGTTTTGTGGCCAGCCGGTTGGGACCAGATGGTCTAATATCGAACTGTTGATGGTTTTCACTACACCCTTACTTAGCCATAGTGGGAGATATTCCCTAACGAGCACGAAAAATCAAGTTCCTAGAGTAACAGCCAATATAGCTCCCTCCACCACAAGCACAGTTGAGTTGGTAGAGACAATTTGAAGTGATTAATCTAGGTACTTCATCCTTCAGTCGAGGTAGCACCCTCGGTTGTGTAGAGAGAGAATAATACGTGTAGTTCGCCAGCATTGAAAGTTCTTGGAACTGATTTCCTTAATTTCTTCGTAATTATCTCATTTGGCGTATCGGCCTTGAATTGTACTCGTATATAAAGTGGCATCTTGTTTACGGATGGTGAGTATTTCTTTTCCGCTTTCTTTGTCATGTGTTTCTTGATAAATTTGTCTGGACGTCTATTTTGAATCAAGATATCATTTACAATGCTCAGTTACTTCCTCCGAGCAAATAGCTCTAACCCTGTTGTGGCTGAGAGTCTTCACTAAATTTCTTTTGTGCTTGAAAAGAACGAAGCTGTGAAAATGTTTATATTGTCCTGTCCAAGTACCTTTTCCATGCAAATTTCATTTTATGCTGCCATCTTGTTTTCTTGTTTAAAGGACATCCAGGAATGCAATTCTGTCTTGGGATTCCTTTTCGCATGTGAATTTCATAGCAGAATTCGCTTCACAATTATTAGTGTTCTGTGAGCTGGTTGGTTTATTTGCGGAGCTTTCGTCGTGCTTCTACCAACTAATAAAAAGTAAACGATATGACGAGAAAGTTTAAAATCCAAGTCAATAGAAAATGATCAATACATTTGTAAAGATAGTGAACAGGAGACGCAGAAATTTAAATCATTTCACTTCATGCTAAATATTACGCTGAAGATGTTGTCCAGAAGGACGACGAAAGCTCTGCAACTAAACCAACCAGCTCAGAGAACACTATTCATTGCAAATCATTCACCTGAGCTACAAATCTCTATTTTTTCAGAATGTGCTTCATTAAATTGAGTTATTTTTGTACTCCTATCATAACCATTATTCTCCTGCATTCCGAGTGAAATAAATGTCTAAAAGTCTTGGTGTTTTCCTCCTTTTACAAGGTGGCTAGCCTCACACACAACCTTCTTTCCGAATCGTGTTTACCACCAGCTATGTGAGGTTTAGTAGTGAGACAGTTGGAGTTCAAACGTCGAACAATGCGAGACATGGTTGAAGGAACTCCTGCTGCTGATTTGGCTGGTTTTATTTCTTTGCGTTCCAACAAGGAACATAGGGGCCTTCAAGCTAGAGGTTTCAAGTTTCTGTGGCAGTGTTGTTGTTTTTACGGGATGGCATTGCTAGCCCCATGGGCAACTTTCCCTCTTTACCGCTCTTGTTATTTGCTTAGCAAGATAAAGGAGTGCGTCGGCCGGGGATAAAACTCCAGACCACATGAGGCGCGGTTGATGAGTAATCTACCGCCAAGCCTCTGATGGTATGTAAATAATGTTGATAATTTTAATTCAGTGCAGACTTCATCAGCATTCTTTGAAAAGCAGGGCTGTTGGTTATAACTTGGGACTTCTCAGCAGTGTATACACAAGGAGTTACGGAGAATGTGGTTACGGACCTTCAAGTTATGTGACATGCAGTCAAAATAACTGATTTTTTGTGTTGCTGTGCTTTCAGTGATTCTCTAAATGTCGATTCGTGATGAAATCCCGATAAATCGAAAATCTGAATAATTTTATTGTTGGTGTTATTGCAAAAACAGAAGACAAGTGCCAGGCAACGGATCGTTTATTGACAAAATCAACAGATATTTATAGATTTTTATGTACATTATTATTCGTTATTGTTAGCAGAGAAGCGACGTCTTTTAACTGGTTTTTTTCTCGCTGAAGATTATTCCGTACTGCTTGTGACCGTTTCTCAGAAAGTTAAGCCATATATCTGCGAATCGTATTTGCACAAGTTAAGTCTGCCGTGATTGGTTGGTGAGTTCCTCAAGGTTAACCTTTGTTATTGTTTTTTATCATGACTTTGATTCGTGACTGAAACATTGAGGTAAACTGTTGCTTACAATTTTGGAATGCAGACAGCCCTCACTAGATTATGATGGGAGCTACGACCTCGTAGAGAGACTATGAGCGAATACAAACTAAATGCTCTTACAAATCTGTCCTAATCGCACGTCAACAACGATAACATCACCGGCATGCAGATGAAGCGAAGGTGGCTGTCGATGAAAATCTGCAAATGCTTTTTGTGACGCGCGCTTCAAGTCCCTGAATTCCATAGAAGAATTTAAGTAAAGAGGGTTCTTATAACGCATTTGGTCAGTAGTATTGTGATGAGAGCTGGCTGCAAATAAGGCGAAATTGTTGACAACAATTTACTTCACTGTTCATGTCTCGAATCTCGGTCACGAGAAAAACAATAACGAAGCTTAACCTTGAAAAAATTTCCAGCCAATCACAAGGGAGTTAAAGTGTGGCAAGATGACTCACAGATATACGGTTGATTTTCTGAGAAACGGTCACAAAGACGGAACAGAATAACCTTCAGCAAGAAAACAACCAATCAGAAGAGGTTCCTTCTCCACTAACAGTAATGTACATAGAAATCTATAAATACCTCTTCATTTTCTCAATAAACAATCTGTCGCCTGGCCCTTATCTTCTGTCGTTAGAGTATTAGATTAATTATCACACGAAATTTTTTTATCATCAAATTTATAAAAAAAACTGCAAAGTTGACAATGACAGTTGATATTTTATCAAATTCAGCATGATAGTAGTTTCCGTTCTGTGAGTGACATTTAATTGTTGGAACGTGATTATTCGTCATTCAAAATACAGTCCACACATTACGACTTAGTAAGTTTATATTTTTGTAAAATAACGATGCAACATAGTCGGGATGATGCAATCAATAACGTTGCAAATCTTTTCACAAAAGGCATTGTAACACTTGATTGCGAACATATCTGTCGGAGACAGTTTAAAACAACAGAAGTTTGTGATTTGAATAAACAATGAAGAAACAATGGAAGCCAGGGAGAAGATATACTCCTGTGAAAGACCAACGCTGACTTCTGTTTCACTTTCTATCCACAGAGTATCGGTTTGTTTGCTCAAATGGCATCGTATTATTCCATGTTAATTGATGCTGAAAGTATCTAACATGTTAATTAGCTGTTTAGAAATAATAAGCAGTGAGAAAATCAAATATTTTACTAGCTGTTGTGAGGAGAAATTCAACAGAAAGCTATGGTGGATCTAGTTCTTGTCTTTAGTGACACTCATCAGCGACACCTATCTACCAGCCTTCCAAAAAACCTATATTCCTATTCGATTTTGAGGCTGTGTTACAACAAAGCATTTCAGCAAGAAACAGTTTAGTCATTTAGTCATCTCATACACTCAGGTTACTTACAAGTGAACTATTAAGAACATTAGACATCAGACTGCTTTGCGTTTACCTTACTCGATTCGTGATATATTTGTGTTTTTTTAGTTAGAATACAAAATTGTAGACAAATAGCAGAATGTGGAATCATCAACAGTTTTTAAACAGTTTTTCAATGGAATGAAAATACACTTCTATACAAAGTTCTACCTTGATTTATTGATTAAGCCCTCGGTTCCTTTATACAGAAAACTTAATAATGCTATTTAATAATAAACTTAATAATTATAATTAATAATGATTTTTCCAATGATCAGATGGCCAGATAAGATCAGCAACAGGGATCTCTGGGAGCAAACCAACCAGGAACCAATTGTGAAACAAATAAGCAGGAAGAAATGGAGATGGATTGGACATACTCTGAGGAAACAAACCATCAACTGACATCACTAGACAAGCCATTGCTCGAGTGGAACGCGGCCGAAAGGGAAGCGGCGAGTTGGTCGTCAGTGCAAGGGTGACTTGGAGGAGGTCATGTGAAGAGGAGATGAAAACGTGTGGGCAGACATGGAGCCAGGTGAAGGCTCTAGCAGAGAACCGAACACAATGGAGACGCACGGCTGAAGCCCTATGTTCCTGTAGGAATTAAAGGAAACAATAATAATAATTTTTCTTCAACAACCCACCTCCAGTTTGTTTTACTTTCTGCTGTCCTCTTCAGCTGGCTAGCTCCACGATTGACCGAAATCTCTCTTCTCCTCCTCCACCTCCTCCAAATCACATAGTATCCTCCATGTCACCTTCATACTGACGACCCACTCGTTGCTTCCTGTTGGGATTCCACTACAGTGATGGCCTGCATCGATTGCAATGTCATTCGATGGCCTTCCAAATGGTGTACATCCAATCCATATCTATTTTCTCTTGCATATTTGTTAGGCAATAGGCTCTTGGTTAGTTTCTTCCCAGGCAGAATTTGTGGACAAGGAATGGCTCTCAACGGACACTTGGAGGCTAATAGACGAGAGGAGAATGGTGAAAGAGAAAATGATTGAATGCAAAGATGGATAAGAGAAAGAGTCGCTGAGCTCAACTTACACAGCACTGGACAAAGAGGTGAA